ATTTCCCTCTGTTAAATGATTGAATAAAATAATAATTATAGTTTTCCTTTCTAAAATGATTTGACTGTATAGTTATTAGTCTGCAAATATATACAAATATGACCCTATTTAGAGGAAAATCACACTTGGTTGGTCTTATATAAATTAAGAGATGAATTTAATTTTTGAGAATTCATGAGGGCATGAACTACGACGCTTCACGCCGGCATATTTCATGAAGCGCGTTAGCGCTTCATGATAAATATGCAGGCGTGAAGCGTTGTTGTTCATGTACCTCATGAATTCTCAAAAATTAAATTCATATCTTATATTTACATTATTTTTCTGATGACTTGCCACATATTTTTGTCATTTAGCGATCATTTTTGAAAAAAAAGTTCGCAGTATTTTTTGACTTCAGTCACATCACAATGGAAATATTCTTACTCATCCCACGGTTGTTCATGAGAACATGAACTTTTTATAATTTGCAAAGAATCAAAGGAAAAATATTTGGAAATGTAGATATATATGAATTAATACCTCGAGATAAAAGCATGACTTATATAGGTACTTATATAATTTCTATCATAGAAGCAAGCCCTAGCCTATTAAAGATGGTGGAACTTTAGAAGCATTAGTTAGTGTTAACGCCGTATTTGGGGGGGGGGGGTCAGTGAACTGTTACCCTCCCCCTTCTCTCTCTCTCTCTCGCTCTCTTTCTCTCTCTCTCTCTCTCTCTCTCTATATATATATATATTCTGTAGGTCACATAATTAACAATAGTTTCTAGATCACAATTTTCTAGCTAACTGAATCTCAGATTCATTTTTCGCTTTCTAGATCACTGTTACTGTGAGTTTGTTGTATAAGTGGGAAACACAAGAAAATCTTTACATGCATATTATTTCACATTTTTCATACAAATTCAATGCACGGTAGTTAATTTTTCATGGAGAAAGCTAAAACAACGTATATTTAACGGGGAAAATGAGTTCTCGGGAATAAAAACCATCTGCGCCGCGGAATATTGGTTTGAATTTCAATAAAGAGGCAGGTAATTGGACAGTTGAAAAGCTGAAGAACATATAGTAAACAGAAAATTTAATGTTTTGTTGTTGGATGTAAATTTAGTTCACTCGCGATGAAGGATGTTTAAATTTTCTTTGTGCTTCGCACTCTTGAAACATAAAAAACTATATCCTATTTGTTAAGTAAATTTTCAAATTACAAAACAATGAATAAACTCTATTTATCATGAAAAGATGAAATTTTTCTTTCATATTCTTCCATGCATGGATTACATATACAGTTTTATTATTATATGTCTGTCCTTTCTCCATGCAGTGTGGCAACGCACTTTGAAAAAATAAACGCACTTTGAAAAAATTTTTCAAAGTGCGTTAAAATTGGGACAAAATCAACGAATTTGAAAAAATTTTTCAAAGTGCGTTAAATTTTGGACAGAATTAACGCACTTTGAAATTTTTTTTTCAAAGTGCGTTAAGAGTGTACATCAACATTTTTTACCATGGAGACACTTAACGCACTTTGAAAAAATACGTATAAAACAATAATTCTGGACTTAGATTTTAATAATAGACAGCATTTGTCATATTTCTTCCGAAAAACTGATGAATTGATCTACCCTCATCGAGAACGAGGAGAAGACTGGTAGAAAATCCCTCAGCCCAACTCTCTATCTTTCCTACACAAATATATGTATTTACATAACTGGTATGACATTGATATTATTTCTCACAATAAATCTGAGTTAACGTAAAATAGATGAAAAATTGAGATTAGTTTTCCTGAAAAAAAAATTACGCACCCTATTATATAATAGAAGAGAGCCGCATAACCTTTATTCAAAATGTATCCACAATGATTCCTCAGAAAAAATGCATTTACATGGTAATTAAAACATGCTATTTGACATGTCTAGCGTTTTTATGATATCAAATTACAGATTTAGAAGAAATCTGACTGCATAACTTTTTGAGAAATAGTTATTAGTGAACGAGGTAAAAATTTCAGTCGAGTGAGTAATGTGGCTAAGTGCTATTTTCTTACTATCAAATAAATGAGAACCATTGTTTCATATACATGTAATTATGTTCACAATAGATAGACAGATGAATATGATAGAAAAATAGATGAGAGGGAGAGAAGGAGAGAGCGAATCACTTATCGACACCTACATCTACCGAACTTATTAGAACTGGATAAAATTTAAAAAAGAAAAGAAAAAAGGAAACGAACTGTGCTATTAAACAGCCATTTCTCCATTATTTGTAAGACCCATTTCCCCTTTATAACAGTTACGAGAACCTTTGGAAACAAGACAACTCCTTAAAATCTTTAAAACGTCTATATCTCAGATCCTGATGTCATCACCGAAAAGTTATCCAACCAGGTTCAAATAATTATTTATCATTTCTAAAATTTGCAAGAATATTGACCGAGCCATGCACATTTTTTTTCAAAGTGCGTTAATATGGTCGATATTAATGCACTTTGAAAAGAAATATATTTTCAAAGTGCGTTAACGTGGTCCCAAAATTAACGCATTTTGAAAATTTTTTTCAAAGTGCGTAATTTTTCAAAGTGCGTTGTAACAATGCAGTTTTAAAATATTTATTTATGTATATGTTATACCCGTACATGTATGTACCTATGACGATTTAATAAAAATGTTTCTACTTTATGTTCCTCTTGTACCATGTTGTATGGTTTGAGTGAAATAAACTGAACTGGAGGAAGAAAAACAGTTGTCTCCTTGTTCCTGAACAGTTTCTTCTGAACAGGAGAATTGTGTCAATTACCTTTCATTACTCATTCTTCTTTGTGTTTAGGAAATTGACAAGCTTTTTCATAAATACTATATGTGGTAACTAAGAATTGTAAACAGTGAGTCAGCTTCAAATACCCGGCATTTTATAAGTTACCCGTGTTTACATAAAAGTCAAAATGTTTTTGAAATCCATCAGGCTGTACATAGCTTGGTTATAATTTAGGAATATAGGTGTATATGAATGATATTATTTCTTTTTAAGCAAATTGTTTTCGGTTATACTTTGGACAGAATTAAGGAAAATATAAAAACATTTTAGCAATGCAAATGATTGAATCGGACGCACAGTTTCAGACTTATCTTTTACAACCAAAAATGTAATAGATAGTTTGTTGAAAATTGTGGTTCGTTATGAGAACTTTTCATTAAATTCATTACATATAAAGATTCGTTTACAATTTATTTTCAGAGTGCGTATAGTTTAAAACTAGATATCGATGAGAAATCAATGCAAGATAGTTATACGCTTATAACACAAAAATTTAGAGTCATCAAATCATGAATGTAATTTAATTCTCAAATGTTGTTCCGTTTATAAAATATCATACATAATTTTTTCCAATCTTTTACCAAAATCGATTCATTAACTGCAGGAAGCATAAACTTTCACATTGTTCATACAAACTCAAAGCACAATTGTTAATTTTTCATGAGGAAAGCTAGCAGAAAGTACGATTGCAGTGATAGCACTTTGCACTTAACTATTTTAATGCATATTTCATCGAGAAAATGAGTTCTCGTTCATGAAAACTACAGTACTATGTTATGCATAGATCCATTTGAGTCTATCTCTATCTATAACAGTTATTTCTTATTTCCAATATTAGTGAAGGAAACTAATAGTTATATGTTTGAAAATCGATTTTTTTAAGACGAGGAGTGGTTATTATATGTTTGGTTTTCCTTTTCACGGTCATAAACTGAGGCGTTTTAGTTGGATATATTTTACCTCTAAAGAAAACAATTAAAAGAAAGAAATGAAGAAAGGAACACCCTTTGTAAACTCTCCTCCAAATTGATAAATAAAAACAAACACATTAACATTGCCATAAATCAAATCGGTTTGCAAGAAAAAGTTTAAGAGATCAGTTAAATAGTCAAGAAAAATTAATTAATAATAAAAAATAACATAATAAAATTACACAACAATAATTATCATGATAATAAATAATCACAACAAAATAACAAAACAAAATCACACAAACAAAGGCTCCCTGTTTGCAGGGAAAAAAGTTATATTCCATTGTTCTTTTAGTGATATTCATAATGGTTAATAATCGCTGATTTTATTTAACAAAAGAAACTGTTGAAGTGACCTTCTGTTTTTCTAGTTACTGATCGAATGCTCTTTTGGTATTAATGTTAAGTGAAGTGGTTGATTAAATTTGAAACGGAGCCATTGAAATGTATATTCAGGATTGGTATTTTACTTAATGTTAGTCGATAATTTTTAAAGAGCTGTATGAAGTGACATAAAAATTGGAAAATGACGTCATTTTTTCCCTCTTTAGTTGACCATTTCAATTCCATTGCATTAATTTTATTTGAATAAGATCAATAATTGAAAGGTGATCATATACCTAAATGTTCCTGTTTTTCTCGGTGAATGGCAAACACAAAACTTTAACATTTCATGAACTGCTTCGCTTCAGATGAATTGTCAGTAACAGAACACGAGCTGTCTCGCTCCACTTTGGCGAAGAATCCATAAAAATCCCTCTGGCTACCCTTGTTTTTCCATTATTATATTTTACTGGATATGTTATAAACCACAGGCACGCTCACTTTCAGTGATATGTAAGCTGATACTGCCTGTCTAATGAGAGGTGGGATTTTCAATCATGGTCTTGTGCGGCTAATTGGTTATCTTTTATTTGTGCTCACGTAATTTATAAGATACTATACATCGTACAAATCTCCTGGAATTTATCATTGTAGACTTGCGATGGATTATTGTTTGTCATATTCTGCGGGGACTCCCTAATTGAAATTTATTTCAGAAATTTATAGATGACTAAGACATCAGTAAAATGATATTAATTTTCAGATTATTTGGGAAAAAATTATGAGAAATGTTCACTTCCGTTATCATTGAATATGGTAAATATTTTTAGAATTAAAACTGTTCTCAGAAATCACACATTGTGACTTTTTTTCCCTTTTTCAGGTTAATTCTCAATGAAAAAAAGAGCTTGCATGAGTGGATGACGATAAACACCGAAAAGATGATGTCATAATAATGTTTTCGGACGAATTCTATGACGAATACACACTTTTGGAGGCATGTTTGGAATATGATTTTGAAGCAGTGCAAAATATACTGGACGATAGCCCAACAGATGAAGAATTAAACGAGAGAGATAAAAGTGGTAAGGTACGTTAAATTTTTTTTTCATCATAATAAATCTAAGTGTGATTTCTTAATTTACAAGTATCAAAAACGACCTCAAGATTGGCGGAGACAACTAAGGTATGGAAAGAACAGCTTTCCTTATAACAATAATTGGAAACAGAATGTCAAAATGTTGGGTGATCATCCTTTCCTAGCAAGGTGTTACTTTAACAAATCGATTTTTGCTAATGTAGATATTAATGATTTGTGTAAGTGTTTGGGGTCGTAAACATAGCCATTCATACATATAGTAAGATATTTTATTATAAGGTGCGATTTCAGAAGAAACATTTTATTATAGTTAATTTGTCGAAATGGTCAAATTAGTTGGATTTCATCAATATACAACGATTCCAATATGATATCACTTTAAGATAAGACCCACAGATTTAATCTGGTAATTAGTTGAATAAGATATGTACGACAGCATGGTAATAAATAGCTACCAGACATTGTTACCTGACACTAAGAGTGGGCATCAACAATACAACTAGAAATTAATTAGTCAACACTGACCACCATATATTACAGGTGTCTTTTCGGTTACATTTCCAGGTTGGAATAATTAAGTGATATTAAGCCAGACAAGCTGCGTCAATACTTCGTTTAAAGCATTTATGATAAAGATCATTTTCAAAGTTGTTTCTTCAAGTCTTTTTTTTTTTGGATGGGGAGTGGGTTGAGAATAGGAGTGATGAGGTGAAAGAAAATTAATATCCCTTCATTTTGAGGTTGGGGTATATTGGACTCCTCATTTCAGTCCTTCAATGTATTGGAATTCGTTCGTTTATTCTTTAACACAAGTTTGCTGGACCAGTGAATGAATACTGCCTTGATCAACTACAATAGCATAGTCTGTAACTTATAATTAAAAGTAGATGAGGGGGTGGGTGCTCAGTAAATGAGTGTCCTAGTTTGGTGACAAAATCTCTGACGAAGAAAAAAAAATAAAAGATTACTAGATAATCCTAAATCACAAAACTATTTTACTACATTCAACATTCTATATTAACAAACAGTGGGGATGGGGTCACAGTTGGGGACTTGTTGCTTAGTAGCGAAGATTGATTGATTGTATGTCGAGAATTTTCCACTCATACATGTATAGAGATGTCACCATATACCGGTGAAGGGCTTCAAATTTAGACCTTTACTCGGCACTCAGGGCCATTGAGCAGTGACGGTTTTTTATCATGCCAACGCCTACCGTGACAAGGGACCTCGGTTTTTAAGGTCTCATCCGAAAGACCCGCAACTTTCACTTTAAAGTGCCGAGCGCTTGGCGAAGGAACAGTTGCTACCTATTTTTATCGACTTAGGTCAGTCGCGACCATGATTCGAACACACGACCTTCCGATCACGGAGCGAGCGCTCTTCCGATTGAGCTACTGTGACGGTGTTAGTAGCGAAGAAGTCTAGCAAATTGAAAAGAGGACATTTCATACAAATATCCAAAACTTTCAGGATGTTTTACCATTCCGACCAAAAGATTGGGAGGGGTACAATAATACCCTCTCATCTTTCAAATGTAACATAATACACCTATTAAAACTAACATTATTCATGACACAATAACATTAAGTGTAAAAAAAAAATACATAAATAAAATAACAGACGTGAGGGTTTTATCATTTGTATTTTCTATGAATGAATGTGCAGAGATTAATTTTTATCACATTTTCAATAGTGAAATACTGTGATTTATTTATTGAATAAAAGTGATATTCTGTCATAGTGTGAAAAGATATCAAAGTGATATTGTCACAGTGTGAAAAGATATCAAATTTAGTAAAAAATAATTTCTTGCCTGTCACAAGATACGGTAACTAAACCATCTTGATAGAGACTAAAACTGCCAATTTCTTCCAATTATGTTGCTAAAATTCATGTGAACAATGCTTTCAATCTCATAATTGCTAAGCTATGACGTCTCAATTGCTCACCTCTGACCTCACAGCCTATGACACTGTGTTTAGAAAAGACAGAGGCAAAGGGAAATCAATGAAAATGTAATAAACAGTAAATTCGATTTTTAAGCCCCCGTATCGAAGATTCGGGGGTATATAGTTTTTTTCCCTGTCCGTCCGTCTGTCTGTCTGTTTGTCCGCAAAAACTTTAACCTTGCCCATAACTTTTGATTGGTTGGAGTTATGGCTTTCATATTTCACATGTGTATTCCTTGTGGCAAGACCTTTCTTTGGGTACCACCATATTTGACCTTTTGACCTTGGAGTTTGACCCAGTTTTGCAAAATTTACTGAACCTTAACCTTGGCCATAACTTTTGAACAATTGGTGCTAGGGCTTTCATACTTCACAGGTGTAATCCTTATGACAATATCTTCCTTTGGATACCAATAATTTTGACCCTTTGACCTTGACCTTGGAGTTTGACCTACTATTGGAAAACTTTAACCTTGGCCATAACTTTTGAACGGTTGGTGGTAGGGCTTTCATACTTCACATAATAATGTAAACCTTGTGACAAGACCTTCCTTTGAATACCAACAATTGTAATCCATTGACCTTGACTTTGGAGTTTGACCTACCTTTTGAAAAACTTTAACCTTGGTCATAACTTTTGAATGATTGGTGCTTCGGCTTTTATATTTAACCTGCCGGGTGTATTTCTTGGCCTTTCCTTAGCACCATTAATTTTGACCATTTGACCTTGCCCTTGATGTTTGACATACTTTTGAAAAAACTTTATCCTCTTCCATATCTATTCAATGGTTGCTGCTAGGGCTTTCATATTTCACAGGTATATTCCTCGAGACAAAATCTTACTTTGGGTACCAACATATTTGATTTGCATTTTAGAAAGGTTAACCTTTGCTATAAGTTGCCATACGGGGGCATCAGTGTTGCACAAACACATCTTGTTTTAGTTGGATATAGAAATTATTTTCACTCGTAGGAAAGGATTTTTTTATATTAAATTACTCGTGAAAATATCAAAAAATCCTGTCACACTCGTGAAATAACTTCCATATCCAACTACAATACATTGAATATCCTCTATTTATTTTCAATGACATATGTATTGCAGACGGCTCTTTGCCATGCATGTGCATCCGGAATGCTACCGATTGTGCAGCTCCTCTCCGAAGTCCCGGAAGTGGATGTCAATTTAAGTGATAAGGAGGGAAATTCGCCGCTTATATTCGCTGCACAAGCAGGTATTACTGGCAGAACTGACAGTTGTTTTAGTGAAGACTGCAAACTTTGAATTTATAAAACTGAAGATGGTTTGTATAATTCCATGTATAATTTTTCGTGACAGTAATTTAAATATAAATGTTGAACAATCCTATACATGTTTATATCAATTTTGTTTGTATTCTATGCCCCCGTAACCTTGGCCATAACTTTTGATTAGTTGCAGCTATGGCTATCATACTTCACGTATGTATTCCTTGTAACAAGACCTTTCTTTGGGTACCAACATATTTGAACTCTTGACCTTGGAGTTTGGCCCACTTTTGCATAATTTTACCAAACTTTAACCTTGGCCCATAACTTTTGAATGGTTAAAGCTAGGGCTTTCATACTTCACAGATGTATTTCTTGTGATAAGTTCTTTCCTTGGATACAAATATTTTTGACTTCTTGACCTTGACCTTTGAGTTTGATCCACTTTACAAAAACTTTAACCTTAGCCATAACTTTTGAACGGTTGGTACTAGGGCTTTCATATTTCACATGAGTATACCACGTGACAAGACCTTCTTTTGGGTACTTACAATTTTGACCATTTGACCTTGACTTTGAGTTTGAATTACTTTTGAAAAACTTCAGCCTTCCATAACTTCTGAACAGTTGTTACTAGGGCTTTCATATTTCACATATATATTTCTTGTGACAAGACCTTCACTTTGGTACCAACAATTTTGACCCTTTTGACCTTGGAGTTTGACCTCCTTTTGAAAAACTTTAACTTTGGTCATAACTTTTGACCAGTTGGTGCTAAGGCTTTCATATTTCATAGGTGTATTCCTTGTGACAAGTCCTTCCTTTGGGTACCAACAATTTTGACCTTGACCTTGGAGTTTGACCTACTTTTGAAAAACTTAAACCTTGGCCATAGCTTTTGAACGTTTGGTACTATGGCTTTCCGTTTTCACATATGTATTAGTTGAGAAAAGACCTTTCCTTGGGTACCGACAATTTTGACCCTTTGACCTTGACCTTTGAGTCTCATTTACTTTTGAAAAACTTTAACCTTGACCATAGATTTTAAACAGTTGGTGCTAGGGCTTTCATATTTCACACGTGTTTTCCTTATAAATGACAAGACCATTCATTGTGTACCAACAATTTTGATTTGTTTATTGACCCTGGGAGTTTGACTTGCATTTGAGAAACTGTAACCTTTGCCATAAGCTGCCATACGGGGACATCAGTGTTTTACAAACATATCTTGTTTTTCCTTAGCATATACTAGTAGTTTAAAGTTACTTCTAACTACAAGTGTGGATAAAACATTTATAGGTTATCGAGAGATTGTCAGGGTGCTGCTCCATGAATTCAGGAAAATTAGAGTGGACCATAAGAACAAAGCTGGGTTCACAGCACTGATGAAAGCAGCATTACAAGGAAGGACATCTTGTGCTAAGCTGCTACTTTATGCAGGTAAAATGCTTATTAAGGCTTACTATTGTTGATTAATTTCTTACATTGTATTCGTAAGATCGGGTTCTGTTGACCATCTTTGAAAAAGCCTCTTTTTGGTTAAACCTATAGATTGTATATTAATTTTTCATAAAAGATTTTTTTTTAGAAAATGAAAATCTCACAAGAAAGTGAGTGTAAATGTATGTAACCGATCGAGCAGCAATCTGAGTTTTCTAAACTTATTTTGTATTCAAAGAAGGCATTGATCCAAAATAACAAACATAATTCTAGTATATAATCAAATAGAAGTTACATATCCATAAAATGTAGAGGTGTCGATCAAATAGAATTCACCAAAAACGTATTACTGCTCTGACTAACAAAGAGGGTAAAGCAGGGTAGATAGTGAAAGTCTATTATTGAATCACGAAATACAAAATAACCAATGAAATCAAAGAACCAATGAGATTTTACTCAACCACCTTAATCCAGGTGCGGAAAAGAATTTGGATAATCAAATTTTTGAAGAATTTTATTCCACGAAAAGATTGATTGTAATTGATAAAAGGATAAATTGATTGATTTGATTTTACAATAAAAATAATAATCTTTCATATAGCTTTCATCTTTGATTTATTTTTTATCCACTTGAAAATAAACGTGGAGTTCTTTTCATTTAGGGGCTAATCCAAAACTTAGAGACAACGGGAGACAGCTTTGCGCAGAGGAATGGGCTCGATTTACGGGCAGACATGAATGTGCAGACGAAATAGCAAAGTTTACTAAGACCAAAAGATTCTTATTTAACAGGTCCAGCAAAAAAGTGTATTCTAGATCAAGCAGTGTCCCGGATTTAACTGCTACAGACGATAAAGTCAAGGAATACACAGGTCCTACTCGACAAAAGTCCAAGTCATTCCGTAAAAAAATCAAAAGAATGATTCACGGGTCTTCAAATAATAATACTAACCCTAGCTATAGCAATCATTTGACACAGGAAAGCAATCCATTCGCCATTGTTGCGAGGTGTGTGTCAACACCAGCTCTCTCTAGTGCCCTGCCAGGCGGGGATACAATTTTGAAAAGACCCAGAAGTATAGACAATATCCCACGAGTGGAAGTGACGTCACCGGTAGCAACAAAAACAGCATGGTGACTCGTTGCAATTGAGGACCGCAGCTTTTGTTTACTGCAGATTTTGAAATTAATCTTATGAATTTGATGTCCATGTGATTGCATTAGAAACGTCTCTTTCTGCAGGCCTACGTTCCCTCTAACCCACCCTGCTGCCAAAGACTGAATGATTCACCTTCCCTTAAAATTCAAATAATACGGGAATATTGTGCGTCACTTTACCACAGTTCTGACATTTATGAAAAGAATTTTAAAAGTCAGAGAAGAACTTAAGAGTTACCCAGACGGTGCGAAGACTTACGAAAACTTGGCTACGTACTGACAACACTAGTAAAATATTAACTTGCTAATTTTTAACATTCAATTTCATACCTCTTCTTCTCGAAAAACATTCAATAACAATTAGTAGGGGTAAATTTAAGGTATAAAATATAAAATTTTGGTGTTTAAACCATCTTTTACTTTTGTTACTACTGTAAGTGGTGGAACGAACGTCAACTTTTTAAACCTACAATATTGATATAGCATAACCCTATTTTTTTATCCAATAAACTGTTGAATATTTTTTAACTAAGTGGCTTATTTAAGATTTAAGATTTTATTTCTTGCCCCGTTTTCTTTCTCTCTCTCTTTTTTTTTAAAAACCAATCAGCAATTAATTTATTTTCTATTGAGTGGCCCTCTTTTTTGTCCGGCGTTGTCCATCGTTCGTAAACTTGAAACCATTTTCACTTTCACATAAACCGCTATATCAATTTTAACCAATTTTTGTATGTAGCATTAATGGGTAAAGGGGAACATAAATATGTTAAATAATATAAATTTCATCATATCTGCTTCCCCGGGGAGCCGACGGATGGGGCCAAAAACCATCAAAATAAATTCAATCTCCTTTACTTCTTGACGTCAATCAGTTGAACTGTTGGCAAGAATGTAATAAGCATTGAGCCCTCTACCAACATTGTGAAAATCATGGCCGCAGGGTCAAAAGTTCTGGAGTTAGGGTAGGTCTATATTGATCATAAGGTGAAAATGCATACATGAAAACTCTTTAAAAAAGCTTCTTCTCTCCCCCTGTATATTTAGCAGTCAAACTAAGTGCATGGGTATTATAATATTTAGCAAGGGCATCATTGACTTCCAAAATTGTGAAATCCATGGCTCCAGAGTCAGGGGCTCTGGTGTTATGGCAGGGATCTCTTGATTATATAGTGAAAATGCCATTTAATCTGTGAGAACCTTTATTTTCTGCTCCTGGGTAGGTAGCAGACAAACTAAGTGCATGGTTATGATGAGCAAGGGTACCTCCTCTAAAATTGTGAAATTCATAGCCCCCAGATCAGGGGTTCTGTATTAAAGTGGAGTCTATTGATTATATGGTGAATATTCTTTAAAAATCTTTATTCTCTGACCATGGATATATAGCAAAGAAACTAAGTGCATTGCCATGATGAGCAAGGTTGTCTCTTCCAAAATTATAAAATTCATGACCTCTGGGTCAGGCCACTTCTGGTGTGAGGATGTAGCTCTATTGAATATGCATGTACAGTGAAAATAAATTGTTTGAAAATCTTTATTTTCTGACAATGGATATTTAGCAAAGAAACTAAGTGCAAAGTTATGAGGAGGAAGGGTGCCTCTTCCAAAATTTTAAAAATCATGACACCTGGGTGGGGTCAGTTCTAGTGTTGGATATACATGTTTAGATTGATTGTTGTTTAACGTCCCTCTTGAGAAATTTTCACTCATATGGAGACTGCACCACTTACCAGTGGAGAGCTGCAAATTTTGACCTATACTTGGCACTGAGGGCCATTGAGCAGTGAGGGATCTTTTTCGTGCCAGCACCTACTGCGACACGGGACCTCGGTTTATAGCCTCTCATATGAAGGACCAATCTCCACTTCCCACAGTGGGATTCGGACCCGTGATGTAAATGAAAAACCATTAATTAGCCCTTTAGAAATCTTCTCGTCTACTCCAGGGTAAGAAGCAGATGATTTAAGTGAAGGTTATTATGAGTAGGGTTCCTCTTCCAAAATTGTAAAATTCATGGTCCCTGAGTCAGGGGGTTCAGGTGTTACATGTAGGACAGTGCTCTCTAGATTATAAAGTGCTGGGCAGGGCTCTATTGATCTTGTAGGGAAAGTAGTACTCTACATTGAGAGAAGTTGTTCCCCTTTAATTCACCCATCATAATAAATTAGTGTAATAATTAATTGATTTGTCATTCAAATAAAAGAATTAATTGAGAATTTTTCATGTATGATTGTAAGAGTACTGACTTTTATAGTTTTTTATGGTCAAAAATAAGGCAAAAATGTCTTATATTGTACATGCACATTAAATATTATCCAAAGACCAAGAAAGGCCAGCGTACTATATGTATACCATTTTATGTTGGGACAAATGGGTCAGGAGTGTATTAGAACTGGCAAGAACAGGCAAGTTAATACATCTACTTTGAGTTGTTGCTGAGTACTAGACTATGTTGTTGATCTCTCATCATCCTATTTTTCTCACTTTTTTTTGCATCAACAAATCTTCATCTTCCTGTTTATTTTGTTTTATTTTATACTTCTATGGATCCTTTACAAGCTTGTATTATAATAAGGTGACTGTTAAGGCCCTTGGGCCTCTTGTAGTAGTAAAGTATGGAGCTTGGTCACTTCGCTCCTTAACACTAAAATTTTACTTTATAATTATCTATTACTTGAGGAATGAATTAAATAGCTACTCAAGTTAAACTGTATAACCTGGGTTTGGGCAGTTTACACTTTATAAACCACGGAGCAGTTTATAAAAAAAAAATGTAAACTGTTCCAACCCAAGTTATATGAGATAACTTGGGTAGCTATTAAATTCATTCCGTATAATTTAATTTTCTATCATTAAGTGTAGAAAAAAAAGACAATTTCTCCTTTAAAAATGCCTTCAAATTGTACATATTTTAAATGTTATGTTGAGCAGATTGATACGTTTTTGACATTAGTCATTGTGACTTAGGCAACACAGGTTATATGATATAAACTAACATTAGTCATTGTGACTTAGGCAACACAGGTTATATGATATAAACTAATTTTTTTATCCTATCAAATGATGTGTTACAACCAAAATTAAATTATTCAGGATTGTCCCTAAGACCTGGGGGCAAGGGAATTTCTCTGCCTATGATGATGTAATCCCTCGTTTATTCTGGTATTCCCCCTCACCCCCTAAAAAGGGAGGAACCCCAAACCCCCATCTACTTTTTTAAAGTCCACTGATATTTCAATTCTTAGGGACAACCCTGATTACTTATGGAATCTGTTTGATGTATATGTCAGTTGATGTAACATTTCTGCTTCAGTGTTATCAGTGTTATTTTTATCATTATTTATGTATTACATGTAAGTACATGTATAAGTATTTATTGTAATGTAAATACATGTATCTCACATATGTAAATACTTATGGTCCACAAGAGCCAGATATACTGGTCATCCAAACTCTTCACCCTGAGCAATTTGATTTTTAATACAATAACTGAAATAAAACCTTGTTAATGGCATACTTTTAAATTTTTATTATATGAACTGATGACTTTTCCTGTACTCTGAATGCATAGTTTCAAAATCCCTTAAGCACAGAAAAATATAAAATACTTAAAACGAAAATTTATTTAACAGATTCACTACCTGTTTAAAAATCTAAATTCTGTATGTGTATATTATTAATAATTTTTAAAAAAAAGATTGCTTTTTCAATTGCTGACTTCCACAAAGAGTCCTATTTTAAGTGCAAATTTTAAATTAATATTTTCTCATAAGTACCAGAAAATTCATTTATTTTACTCTATTTATTCATTTTAATCAACATATTTACATTATAATTTAGTGACTGTTGCAAGAAAATCTATCAAAATATCCATATTCAATACATGTATTTACAAGTTAATAAAAAAAACTTTAATTATTTATGGTTTATTGAGAGTGTTCCAAATTCATTTGTCATTTCAGTTATCTCATAAAAGTCAATAATGATTAAGTACAGAAGAGGATCTAAGACTTTAACATAAACATGCAAGAGTTTAATTACTCCTAGTTTTTGGTATCTCCGAGAGGTGAGCGTTCTTAACATTAACAAAAACTGGTTACACAGTTAAAGGGGGGAAACTCTTCAATCCAAAAAAAAAAAAATTAAATTCGTTATTTGCAATTTTACTACAGAGTTTTAGTATAATTTGGATAAAAAAAAAATAGGGTAATTAGTAATTTGGTATTCACTGAATGCTACATGTAAATGACAGTTACAGTTTCAAAATTATTTATTGACATTAGATTGTGAAACAGACAATTTTCTTAAATGCAATAAAACAGTAGCATGCATAGCTTTCTTGAAAATCTTCTACAGCTTATATAAGAAGAAATTCATGGTGATAAACTGTAAAATTTGAAACATTCATAACCATATAACAATTGTGATTTAATTTAACTTACATGAAATTCAAACTTAATATGCACACACATATACAAAACACATAAAGTGACAATGATTAATAACTGTATAAGATAGTAAATGAAATAAATAATTGTGTAAAAATATACAAATGATAACAAAGTGTCTGTGTAAAATATTATAATACTGTTGTCATGGCAATATCACAGTGCCTAGTGCACAAATATTGGGGATTCTCTTAGCATGTAATTCAGAAAGAACAGAAAACACACCACCTTCTAGTAAGTTCTACAGTAAAAATAGAAACTAACATACTTATAATAACAAAAACCAATTATTATCTTAATTCTTTTGTACTCACAAATGGTAGATTCTTATTATATATTGAACAGTAGTTCAATTAGTGGGAAAAATTCATTCATATTGTATGATACTCTTAAGTTATTTTTGAGCCTGACTAAATATTTGATATATTTCAAATAATCAGAAAAAAGTACAGATGACTCATGTTCTGATGATATTTCTCTCTTTCCAATAAAAATATTCATTTGTTAAAACATAAAGTTTCTTTTATCCATCTTTAACACAAAAAGCACCAACAATCAATAGTGTGGACAAAAAAAGTTCTCATTTAGTTTGTGTTATTTGTGAAAGAAAATTGAAAAAAAAAAAGATAAAATCATACAAAAAGCTTTTTGAACAACAGCCATTTTCTTGTCAAATGATTATTGATTTTAATTGATAATTTCAATAGATTTTAAAGGGTCTCATAGTTTTCCCAAAATCAAAGGTATATTTAAATTTTCCTTTTGCCAGGTAAAACCAGTGTGAATGAATTGTTTATTAAAACCCTCCACACTTCACCATTGACTGACATAATCTCTGGACTGAAATGGAAAAATAAAATAAAATTTGAAACTTCAAAGGCCCAAGAAAATCCTTTTAAAAAAAACTTGAGTTGTTCTTTAAAAAAAACATTATTTGTGATGAAATTCAAACATACAGTAAATCTTAAAGATAAGAAGTGTGTTTAAGTAACATCAATAATAAATTTCTGAGATAGTGAATTGTACATGAAACTCAAATTATGCATAAAATGGAATTGTCGCATCCATTGTGAATGTTTCCATATAATTCCAGAATACATGATAATTTACTTACACTAAATCGATTGGGGAGCTTTGCAGAATATTCCACTAATTGTTGTTGTCTTACCAACTCCCTTCTTTGCCTGAAATAGATTTTATTTATCTTTAACTTACATGTACCATTATTATTTTATTATCATTCCAAGATTATTTAAAAAGATATTAGTCCAGCAGGTACCTATCCCTACATAGAACAATGACATTTATGAAAGAAGGTAATCAACAAAGTTCGATATTTCAGCATATTTCAGAAACTGACTTATGTTCAATATTTTCTTACTTGTCAACATTTGCAGCACAGTTTGGACTAGTTGTTCCAGCAGGCACTCCAGATTTTCGTAAAATTTCCTCTTCATATGAACCACCGCCATTGACCAACAAATCACTCTCAGTGAATTTATCCTAAAAATGAAGTAATTAGTAAACATTGAGGAACTTGAAACTCCAGTTGCCAAATTAAATTATGAAACAAGTATAACAATCAATTTATTAGTGTATAATTGACATATTATTATCTTGGATGAATGGATTATTACAAAATTGTCTAACATTACAATGATTCTATTAAACAGTTGATTAAATGACATTTTTCTTGCTTGACAAAGCAGACACTAGTTAATAGGTCAGACACAATTAGTGGGTGACCCAATTTTTTCTGGCGAGTTTCAATGTACACTTTTAAAAACCTAATAGGTAGTAACTGTTATGCACATAATGTATAACAGATGGATTAAAAATATATGATCTGTTCAATGTTATATTTTTAAAGATTTTTTTTTTGTTATTGTTAGCACATACATTTTTAATCTTACTTACAAATGTTGAAAACATTTAATTGTAAAATATTTCAGCCATACTAATCTTACATAATTTCAACAAACACTGCAGAGTAAGTTCATATTTTCATGACTAACCAACTGTGTAAAGATACGTCTCGAATCTATTTATTTGTATTTTAAAATTAAAAATCGATTTATTTCTGCTTGTTTTGATACATTACCAGCAATTGCTTTTTCCTGAAAGCCAGCAACTCGGCCCGTCCCGCTCTTCTTCTGGCTTCGTTATGTTCAGCGATTCCAGAGCAAGCCATAGTGTTTGGGAGAAAGTGTTTTGGGAGACCAGCTGAAAATTCAAATATTTCACATTTGTGTGCGAATCGATCTATTTTGCAGCGTTTTAATCAACAATCAGATGAATTGGGAAGATTTGAAAAAATAACAATAGCTGTTATATCTCATTCATACCTGATCTTTTTGATGTGGCACTGATAAAATGTCCCACGGAATGGAAATCGATAAAATACGATTAAGCTGATTGCGTCGCGTTGCCAAGCAGATGGCTATACTTAATTTTCAATACAGAAGAGCTCCGCTATGGGGAGATAAACAGACTCAAGACGATCCATATTGATAAAAAAAGACTACAACTTCAGGCCTATAGAAAGCAATTTCACTTGATAAGTGAAAAAACATCCCAAGAAAAAATATATAAAATAGATAAATAAAAGTCATCAGGCGTATTAAAAAATCGTACCACACCTATATTTTTTTCTTGTCTGAAAGTGTCAGAATCTTTATTGTAACAACTTTTTAAGTGAATTTAAAGTAGATTCAAAATTTTATTTATTTATTTTACATTTAACAATCCGGAAGACAAGCCCCTATGGGGGTGGGGTGGGGGGGGGAGGGATCGGACTCCCCAGGGATTTTCAAAGTTATTAAATAATTATATATAACTATGTTAAATACTAAAAAAAATTACCTTGGACTTCCCTTATCCCTTTCCTCTAGGAAACACAGTATCCTCTCCTCGTAAAATGGTATAGAGAGTCATCTAGAAGAAGATTGACTTTAAAAAGTGGATTGTCCTAACCCCCCCCCCCCCTTCCTTGTCAAAAAATGATGAGTCCGATATTTGTCTGAGTTATTGTGGACCCCCTCCCCCTTTCCCCTGCAGCCGAAAAAAAATGTCTGGATCATTCAGATATCTCTATCTAAAATGAGTCTAAATCTGGTTTTGAAAAATATATATATATATGTACATCTTTTGAATATACAAGAATAAAATAACCCTTTTGATGTTGGCTTTCTACCTTCCTTTTTCTTTTTTTTTTTAAATTGAATTGTATCCTTATCAATGAAGCATGTTTTGTGATCACTATCATAATGGAATTTGGGTTGTTTTGAATGACCAAGTTGTTGAAATAAAATACAGGCTTACGCCTTTTATTTTAGAAGTGTCCATCAGTGGTGTAGCATTGCATAATAATAACATCATGATGACATAATAACACCTAAAATTATAATAAGTCTGCGCACAACTGAAAAATATATAGTGCAACAGATAATAAAAACTTCATTCATGACCCCATTATATTAACAACCTTTTGATTTACATGTGATCATGCAGATATAATACAATTAATAAACAAATGCAAAGGGAGATTTGTTTGAATAATTGAAAGGTGGGAAAAATTATTGATTGATTGATAACAATTATGTTGTTTTACGTCCCGTTCGAGAATTTTTCACTTCAAATTTAGACCTTTACTCGGCACTCAGGGCCATTGAGCAGTGAGGGTTCTTTATCGTGCCAACGCCTACCGTGACTCGGCTTTTAAGGTCTCATCCGAAGGACCCGCAACTTTCACTTCAAAGTGCCGAGCGCTTGGCTAAGGAACAGTTGCTACCTATTTTTTATCGACTTAGGTCAGTCGCGGCCGTGATTCGAACTTGCATGGTAGAGAACTATACTTTAGTTAGCCATGATTAGATACACAAATTATGAAGGAGCAGGCATTTACATAGGGTCTAGTCCGAAATATCTGAGTTTTCCATGCGTTCTCCATGATTTTGATGTTTGACGTACCAGGAAAACGCCAGAATCGACGCCATAATGAAAGGCGGAAATTCTCCGCCTCCGCCTCCAACCAGAGGCGGCATTCTCGGGTCGATTTTCGATACATGCGAACCGAATTAAATGTCTAATTCACATCTTATTAACAGTACAATGATTCTAGTACTTACCAATTTCGCTTTTCTTGTTCCTTTGTAATATAAAGTGTCTGGTGAAAACATTTTTTGAACTGTCGAGGTTTGTTTTGATTTCGTTAAATCTCATGATACTTGTATTGTATCGAAATTGGGAATGATATTATCTTTTAAGCTATACTAATGTTGAGAAGTGGAAGCATTGTGCTATTAAAAAGTTGTGAGTGTCTATCATTTAATTCGATTTGCAAGTATCAAAAATCGAGATCAGTTGAGGACGGCGAAATTTCCTTTTTTTCATAATGGCGCCGGTTCTGACGTATTCATGGCACGTAAAATATCAAAATCGTAAAAAAAAAAAAAAAAAAAAAAAAAGCCTGAAAAACGTCAGATATTTTAGACTAATGTATCTGCTATTTCCTATCATCTTAGAAAGGTAAAACATGTATTCAGAAAAACATTTGGAACATACCCGACTCGTATGTAATGGAACCAGGTATCAGTGTACCTTGCCTCTAATTAATTAATTGAGGCAAAATTTGCAGCGAGAGATCTTTGAGAGGTAAAGGGAGAGGAAAGGGGCGGTTACATCTATGTGAACGCCCTTCACAGCAAAAAAATTCATATTTTGATTTTAAATTAGCAAAATATTTTTTAATAAGTGCAAAAAATGGGTCCTATTATCATAAGGTTTATAAAGCGTAACGATGAAAATCAGACTTTCATTTGACTTTATCTTACAACGTAAGCACACAATGCAGACAGAAAATTACTACTAGATGAACATTTCTGGTAAAACTTAAGATTCAATGACCCTCTAATGTAAATCTCACCAACGAAAAATTTATAATTCCCAACATTGATTTTCATAAACAACGATAGCATTAGATTTAAATAGAAAATAATTTGATTGCATGTTGTTTACCGTCCCATTTCTTCCCACTCATATAAAAATGTCACCGTATGCTGGTGAAGGGCTCCAGACTCGGTACTCATAGCAATTGAGCAGTGAGGGTTCTTTATTATGCAAACTCCTACCGTGATATAGGACTTTGGCTTTTAAGGTCTCATCCGAAAGACCCGTGACTTTTACTTCTAGTGCCAGGCGCTTGGCGAAGGAACAATTACCACCTATGTTTACGTCTTAGGTTTGACGTGGCGCGGCAAAAAGAGAACAGAACCCGGGCCACGAAGCAAACGCGCCCTACCAGTGCTACATGTTTGAAGTATGCTTGTGTAGTGTAACCTTTTTAAACAAATGTCTAAACATGATATGAAGAAAATTTGACATCGTGAATAAAAGATCAATAATTTATTAATAAAAATATGAGGAATACATGTATATAAAAATAATATTTAGTCTTATACATATGAATTTCATACCAGAAACATAATTTAGCATTGCTTTTTAAGTCAGAATATCACATTGTTATCTGTGCTAGTAAAATATAAATTTTAAAATATGCATTGGTCATCAAGAGTTATCTTCATTAAAATCCTTTTAAGGGGAAAAAGTTTTAATAATGAAAATTAATCTATATGATTATGTACATTATAAATTACTGTAGTTATGAATCGTTTATAAAGAGATAGAAATATTCAAATTTATAATTGTTAAAAAAAATTTGGGTGCAAACCTTTTAGGCCAAATCTTTTAATAATTATCAAAAAATATAGGCAAAATAAATTAAAATTAGACTTCTATCTCAACAGTTATAGCCTTTGTAATTTGCGTTTGTATTCTTATTAAGAATTTAAGAGGTTTCAGCTCCCTTTTTCTTGCATAATTATTTCCTCCTCCTATTTTACCGTTGGTATTCACCGACAATAACAGTACTGTAGAATTATTGACTGAAAGCAGGAATATTTTCTCAAGAATAAAAAAAAAATGCCAGAATTGTTTTAAAACTATATATATATTCGAAATACACTCGAAAATTCCAGAAAGTAATTAACAACAAAACAAGATAAATTATTTATCAAAAAATAACAAAAAGCAATACCAAATCTGTTAAGCACAATGTCTGATAAGCAAGAAAAAAATCACTTTCTAAAGATGCATAAAATGAACAACACGCACAATAGTAAATTTTTGTGCGATGAAACAATTTTTGAGGAATGATTATTTCCAAGACCTTTGTTTGGGTCATTTGGAGTTGTTGAAATCGTTGTTGTGACTGGAGAAGGAGTTGTATTTGTTATCGTTGGAGAAGTGGTAGTAGAAGGAAGGGTTGTGGTCGTTGTTGTAGGAGAAGTGGTAGGAGGAGGAAGAGTTGTGGTCGTTGTTGTAGAAGTTGTAGTGGTAGAAGGAAGGGTTGTGGTCGTTGTTGTAGGAGTTGTGGTAGGAGGGGGAAGTGTTGTGGTCGTTGTTGTAGGAGTTGTGGTAGGAGGAGGAAGGGTTGTGGTCGTTGTTGTAGGAGTTGTGGTAGGTGGAGGAAGAGTTGTGGTCGTTGTTGTAGGAGTTGTAGTGGTAGAAGGAAGGGTTGTGGTCGTTGTTGTAGGAGTTGTGGTAGGAGGAGGAAAGGTTGTGGTCGTTGTTGTAGGAGTTGTGGTAGGAGGAGGAAGGGTTGTGGTCGTTGTTGTAGGAGTTGTGGTAGGAGGAGGAAGGATTGTGGTAGTTGTTGTAGGAGGAGGAAGGGTTGTGGTCGTTGTTGTAGGAGTTGTGGTAGGAGGAGGAAGGGCTGTGGTTGTTGTTGTAGGAGTTGTAGTGGTATAAGGAAGGGTTGTGGTCATTGTTGTAGGAGTTGTGGTAGGAGGAGGAAGAGTTGTGGTCGTTGTTGTAGGAGTAGTTGTAGGAGGAGGAAGAGTTGTGGTCGTTGTTGAAGGAGTTGTGGTAGAAGAGGGAAGGGTTGTGGTCGTTGTTGTAGGAGTTGTGGTAGGAGGGGGAAGGCTTGTGGTCGTTGTTGTAGAAGTTGTAGTAGTAGAAGGAAGGGTGGTGGTCGTTGTTGAAGGAGTTGTTGTAGGAGGAGGAAGGGTTGTGGTCGTTGTTGAAGGAGTAGTGGTAGGAGGAGGAAGGGTTGTGGTCGTTGTTGTAGGAGTAGTTGTAGGAGGAGCAAGGGTTGTGGTCGTTGTTGTAGGAGTAGTTGTCGGAGGAGGAAGGGTTGTGGTCGTTGTTGTAGGAGTAGTGGTAGTTGGAGGGAGGGTTGTGGTTGTTGAAAGAGTTGGAGATATAGTGGTAGAAGTAGTCGTTGTTTGTGGATTACATGTTAAACAACACGTCACATCACGGGAAGTTGCATCATAAAACGGACAGTTTGCTACGTCGCAACTGGTGCTCCTATCTCCAAATTCACATCCTATAAAAGAAAAAGAAAAGTCTAGTCTGTTCATTGCAAACGAATTCGACAGAAGGTTATTCATGTACCTGTTATCCCAATGTTAGCCGTTGGACATGATTCACAGCAGTTGTCATGAATAGATGTATCATAGCAAACCCAACTTTGACTCATTGCCGCCGCAGAACAATTCATCCCATTGACTGTATAATACGGGTTATCTCCGTTTGGACACGACCCCTATAAAAAATGAACGATACTTAACTGAATAGCCTATGTAATGCACATACATGTAGGACCTTATAAAAATCATCAGAATAGCTTGTGTAATGCATGCAGGAATTCTCATGCTCTGAAATTTAATATGGAGATGATTTATCTAACGAATTGGCATTTGGGCTCATTTTAAATGCATTTTTTGTAGGGATGTCAAAATTTTTATTTTCCTTAGTAGATTATTCAGTTACATTATTCGAACGATAGTCGAATATTCGGAACATTTTCTGAAAATAAAATTTTATTTTAAACTTCACTGGTACATGACGAATTTGTAACTCAAAAACCCTTTTACATAAATGTATTTAAAAAGTAACCTCAAAATTAATGCAACGTAACGTGTGGATAGCATGATTATATGAAATAAATTTAGACACCTACCGGTAATTCTCCAAAATGTAAAATTTCCCCATCAATCGAATTCATAAACCGGCCTATACAGTCAATTTTTGTTTTAGTAAGCATTATTTAAAAATTGCCAGCCGATATTTTTTCTTTTCAATTTTATTTTTTAGTTTATTATGAAAGAAATAAAAATCAGGTGCTCGTGATATTGTTAAACCAGTTAGATACCGCTTATTAAATTGATTGCCCCGGCTATCAAAATGTCCTTAAAATGTAAGCGGATTGTTTTAATAATTATCGAAGTGTCAAAACAAGTCACGGCTATGGTGTGTTTCTTGGATTTGAGCAGTCCTAAAATAACAAATATACAGGGTATAAGATCAAGCCTAATTAATAGTTTTCCAAACAAAGTCCAGTAATTTGATGGGTAATTTATTACAAAAAACAACACAGGCGGTATCTGACGTATAATTCCCGCGGTAGTGAAGCACTTACGATTAATGTACTTTCTATAAGTGCATGGAAAGTCAATCATTTTTTGTTGAGGAAAATTTTCGACTGTCTCTGAAGAAAGACGGTTCCTCAATTTTAAGATGAGAATTCCATCTCATTAAATCACTCTTTAATTGCATTTATTTAATAATAATAATATTCGAATGTCGTTTCATTATTCGATCGTCGGTCCATTCGACTGATGGTCGAAAAGTCGACTATTCGTTGACATCCCTAATTTTTTGTGAAATTGATGCTGTCTAAAACTCAATAGTTTCTCAGCCTTACACAACAGAACATGTTCTTGCACGTGATGCTGCATAAAAATCAGCATATAAAGAAATACTTTTTTATTATCTAATATTCATAGGTATAAAATGAATATCAAAGTTTCACAAATTTCAGATAAAGATTTTTCGGACATTGGTCAACCTTAACAAAAAAAAGTTTAAGATAACGAACGTTGATCGATCTCAAAAAAATCTACAAACAACAATGGAAATCTGTGAGGAGGGCATAAAACACGGACCCCCGGTTATCCAGAAACGGGATCAGCTGCCTAAGAGTAGTAAGCATCTACTGCAGATCGGTCACACCCACCGAAAGCCCTATGTACGGATCAGGTAGACGGAACATTTTATAGTGAAATATAGTTTAAAAACAAAGGCTTAACAATTGTCATGAAACATTCAAGCCATAATACGACTCAGTGATACGTTATATTTGTTATCCAGGTCATTATAACAACCATAGAATTTACAAAATGCTGACTTCGAACGAGGTTGTTGAAATCTCTGTAACAACAACTTATCTGTCAGAGGCCTGTCTTAGTTTGAATATTGATCGTACTCGAAGCATGCTCTTGAGTTTCGAATAAGTTGGGAGATGTAAACACCATATTAACGGAATATTACTACATAAATAAGAAAAGTTGACGATGGAAAAGTTGAAGTCATCTGGTTTGTCATACACTTCAGTTATTAGTTGGTTCTTATCATCAGTAAAACATCCAAATATGAAACAGATGTGGCAGACTATGTGGTTTCTTTTATTTCAAGTTCACTGGGATCGATTTATCGAGGGAACATATGAATAAAAAATTCAGTCCTGGTAACTGTGTTTCGTTTATTTTACACATTATTTATAAAGAAAGTCTTTGTCACTTCATACCACAGCAAAATTGCGAAAACGGAGTGCTTTGGTATAATAGAAAAGCTAAAAGTTGCGGAAACAACGTACGAATAAAATTCTTCAAACTTTGTGGTAATGTAATAACGAGTGTTTTATATCTCCCAGAGCCCTTGGGCAAGGTAAAAACACCTAAATGATAAAAAATCATACATAATAAAAAATATTTTTTTAAATAAAAAAAATTGTTTTTTCAAATACAGACTCGCTTTACTTTCATGGATTATTTTTGCCTTACAACACAATATCAACTATATTTTTATATTAATCTGCTTAGAAAAGTGCAAAATAAAATAAAATGCTTGTTATAGGAACTTTTTTTTCTTTGATTTATAAAATTTAACAATAACGAGTTCTACCTTAATTTTTTTTAAAGAATCAACTACCTTTTGTAGGTTCACTTGTTAATATGTTTAAGTTTTGAGGAACAAGTATCAACCGATTGTCTGATTTTGGAACAAACCGTACAGGAGAAGCGGTTGTTATGCTCCCGCATGTCTCGCAGCAAACGACTTCTCTGGAATGGTCATCGTAATAAGGACAGTTCACTACATCACAGGAATTTGTTCTGTCTCCATATTCACATCCTGCAGTTATGTAATCATCAAATTAAAAAAAATTCATCTTTTTGAAACTCTTTTCATTCAGCTTGTTATCTGTCTATCTATGCATTTCACTGCATGTATATGATAAAGGTATGGATTTAACCCACCCAAAAATCAGAACCCCTCACCCTGAGGAAAGGGCTCAATGCTTATTACAATCATGCCAACAGTTTGACTGCTTGATGTCCAGGAGTAAAGAAGATTTTTTTTAAAGATTGCATTAATTTTTATTTTTTTAGCCCCACCCATCAGGCCCCAGGGGATCAGAATCCATGATATACATAACTTTTGTTCCGTTCACCCAGAGATGCTATATTGGAAAATTGTCTGAAATTGGTTCAACAGTTTTTAGAGAACAAGCTGAAAATGCACAAATGTTAACGCACGGGGACAGACAAAAACAGATACAGTGTAGCAATAAAAACTCAGTTCACTTGACACAGTAACTGTTATTATTTCCAAGTTTTCATGAGAAATACTCATTTCTGTCATTTTTGTGTCAACCAGTGGAAATGATAATGAGGTTAGAATGCTCTGGTGTTGTTTTCACTGGATGGATTAATTTTATTTTGTCTTTCTTAACAGTTCAGTGATAAAGCTTTGTCGTATATCATCCTGTGTAATTTGTGAAGGGAACATCCTATTATATGCAACAAGCAGACTTGACTGAAGATAGTGAAACTGCAAACACTTTCAAAATGGATGAATGGAAAAATAAAATGCCATAACCGTAGCCTGTAGATAGGTTGCTTACTTGTTACCTATAGAATACTTGCTATCAATACTGCAAGATACGTAACAAACGCCGTGGCGTGGGTACGTTGTTTAAGAAATAATGTATCATTTTTAAACATCTATCGGGATATAAATACGGGTTGGTCACGAGATCAAATTCCATAAAGCGGGGCTTTATGGTAAATTTGATCTCGTACCAACCCGTATTTATATTCCGATAAATGTTTAAAAATGATACATTATTACTTATATTTACATTTATGACTTATTCATATTTTATATTTTCCTGATTATAATCTTTAACACGTGAAATGTTTTATTTTTCAAACTCAACGGCACGTATTTGATCCATTGATTGCGCGTCGACCCTTTATGCCGTCACTGAGAAATTACGTCGAACGTTAATGACGCGAGGAACCCGTGTTTATACGGATATAGACACACATTGCTTTCAATAGTGTTATACAAAGGAAAGCATTTGCAAATGTAAATATATAAAATTAAGAAGAAAGTATTACCTACAATAAACAGGCCCTACTCATTGAAGAGATACTTCGTATTTTTTTCCCAAAAAGTAAAATTTAATTCGAAGAAACAGCTAGTAATCAAAGAGTTAGCTAAATAATTAAGACTTAAAAAATTCATAATGTTAAATTTCAACATCGGACAAATTAACCCTCACTACTGGTCATTAAATTGGTCCATAATGTATATAGGATGGAAAAAATCGGCACAATACGTATTCCTGATTCTCTTTGATATGGTTTGGAAAATTGTGCATTGAGGCATCATACTATATAGGCCATAAAATACTAGTACAATCTCCAGTCAATGAACTTGATGAATTTTTCTGATAGGAGAAACAGATCTTTCCTCTGTTTATTGCTGACCTACATGTACATGCATCAGTATGCTTCCAAAAATTAATGACAAATTAAGTCTACATTAAAAGAGGGGGGGGGGGGGGGCTTAAAGAAGTCTTAATATTTATCTACAAACATCTAAAACAACTCTGTTTTAAGATGTAATTGCTCTAGTTATTCGACAGGATGTGAAATGTATTAAACAAGTTAGTTGTCAATTATTTTACATTTAAGGTGTTAAAACAGCATCATGTCTGGTATCCAGAAAGAGGATTCTTAAAATTTATGTTCAACAAATATTTCCAAGAAATGAAATGACTAGAAACTGGAATTACATCGGAAAATGAATAGCAAAGAGAGGATACCTAGTATGGATTTACCTGAAACTCCCGTGTAAACCGATGAACACGATTCACAACAGTACGTATTAATTGACGATGAATAACAGTTGTGATTTGAAACCGCAATTGCAACTGAACAGTTGTTGCCACTTATTGTAATGTGTGGATTGTCTCCGGGACAAGATGCCTACAGAAAAATTTAAAAAGTAAAACAAAATAATACAGTCATTAAAGACGTCGTGGTATTTACAATTTATACTTCGTTCTTTACTGACCGTAGTCGGTATTGTGGATGTTGTTGATGACGTTGGGTAAGAAGAGAATGATGACGTCATGGGAGCTGTGGTAGATGACATCAGAGAGGTACTGGATAAAGTGGTTGTTGTTGTTGTTGAAGATTGATTTTGTGTAGTCGTCAGTCCAGCAGTTGTAGTAGGTCCTGTTGTTGTTGTTGTCGTTTCTGGAGTTGTACCTGTATAACAAGTGCCACAACAACCAGCGCTCAGTGTTCCTGCGCTGTAAGATGAACACGAAGAAGCAACACAACCAGTACTGTGATCTCCATATTCGCATCCTGAAATTTTCGACATTGATTTAGAAAATGACTCACTTTATTATATATCTGCTAGCCTGAGTGGCTATGCTCTATCAAGTGGAAAACTTTAAAACAACTTTCCTTCATGTTAGGCTGGCAAATGACCTAATCTTTATTTTAGCATCGAAGCGGTATTGAATTCTTATGCCATTTTCGAGAATTTGTCAATATCATTTATTATATCAAATATTTTTCATCTGATAAAACGTTTCCATTACATTTTATTGGGAAAGATCCGGTTTTATTATATCATCTATATAAATTTTTATTATGCCCACGTATCGAAGATTCGGGGGTATATAGTTTTTGCCCTGTCTGTCCGTCTGTCTGTTTGTCTGTTTGTCCGCAAAAACTTTAACATTGCCCATAACTTTTGATTGATTGGAGCTATGGCTTTCATATTTCACATGTGTATTCCTTGTGACAAGATCTTTCTTTGAGTTCCACCATATTTAACCTTTTGACCTTGACCTTGGAGTTTGACTTACTTTTGAAAAACTTTAACATTGGCCATAACTTTTGTACGATTAGTGCTAAGGCTTTCATACTTAGCATACGTTATTCTTGTGACAATACCTTTTTTTGGATACCAACAACTTTGACCCATTGACCTTGGAGTTTGACCTACTTTTGTAAAACGTTAACATTAGCCATAACTTTTGAACGGCTGAAGCTAGGGCTTTCATACTTCACATATGTAATCCTTGTGACAAGACCATTCTTTGAATTCCAACAATTTGGACCCTTTGACCTTAACCTTGGAGTTTGACCTACTTTTGAAAAACTTTAACCTTGGCCATAACTTTTGAATCGCTGATGCTAGGGCTCTAATACTTTACATATGTAATCCTTAAGACAAGACCTTCCTTTGGATACCAACAACTTTGACCCTTTGACCTTGACCTTGGAGTTTGACTTACTTTTGGAAAACTTTAACCTTGGCCATTACTTTTGAACCGTTGGTGCTAGGACTTTCATACTTCACATATATAATCCTTGTGAGAATACCTTCCTTTGGATACCAACAACTTTGACCCTTTGACCTTGGACCTTGACCTACTTTTCGAAAACTTTAACCTTGGACACAACTTTTGAAAAGTTGTTGCTAGGGTTTTCATATTTAAGGATATCCGATCCTCAGCCAGGAAGGATAACTCTTAAATTTATTGATTTATTTAAAAAGTCTCAAAATGAAGCTTGAAATTGAGATCTTTTTGTGCAACAATTTTCATTTTATGCATCTTAATATGATTCAAGGTTCTTTGAAGTCTTAGAAACGGTCTTGTAAAAAGTTGACATTTGTACCCCATAAAAGAAAAAAAATTAATTCATTTTTAGAGAAATAGAATTTCCTTTAGTCTAGCATTAGATACCACTGCTTATTAGCATGATATGAAATTAGATGTGATATGTGATGTCCAGCAATGATAGCACAAGCTTTTTACACTATGTTTTATATGAAAATTGAAGTAAAAAGAAGAAACAAAATACTGTATAAGCATATAAAAGATCCAATTTTCTCTAAATGCCTGGATACCTATATTTTTCTATCCTAAATTATGTTTGTTGATCAATTTTCAATTAGAAAATGCATAGCTGGTGTTTTTATTCGCATTTCCTGAAAATATATTTGAGATTTGATAATTTTCCCTATATAATATGATTAACTCTAATGATGAACTTTGAAGAAATTCCATGGGTAAATTCACGTTACTATGTGAAATCAAAGACATTTTTGTGAGCATTTTCAATTACTTAAAAGCTGATTTTCAGAATCTGAGGATCGGACTACCTTAACATGTTTTTTCCTTGTGACAAGACCTTCCTTTGGATACCAACAATTGTAATCAATTGACCTTGACCTTTGAGTTTGACCTACTTTTGAAACATTTTAACCTTGGTCATAACTTTTGAAGGATTGGTGCTTCAGCTTTCATATTTCACCTGTATATTTCTTATGAGAAGGCCTTTCCTTAGGCACCATTAATTTTGACCATTTGACCTTGATGTTTGAATTACTTTTGAAAAACTTTAACCTTTTCCATATCTATTCAATGGTTGCTGCTAGAGCTTTCATATTTCACAGACATATTCCTCGAGACAATATAAAATAAGATGTGTTTGTGAAACACTGATGCCCCCGTATGGCAACTTATAGCAAAGGTTTAACTTTCTCAAATGCAAATCAAATATGTTGGTACCCAAAGTAAGGTCTTGTCCCGAGGAATATACCTCTGAAATAAGAAAGTCAGAGCAGCAACCATCGAAAAGATATGGAAAAGGTTAAAGTTTTTCAAAAGTAAGTCAAACATCAAGTTCAAGGTCAAATGGTCAAAACATGGTGCCCAAGGAAAGGCCTTCTCACAAGAAATACACATGTGAAATATGCATCAACCGTTCAAAAGATATGACCAAGGTTGAAGTTTTTCAAAAGTAGGTCAAACTCCAAAGTCAGGGTCAAAGTATCAAATTTGCTGGTACCCAAATGAAGGTCTTGTGACAAGAATTACATATGTGAAGTATGAAAGCCCTAGCACCAACTGCTCAAAAGTAATGGCCAAGGTTAAAGTTTTCCAAAAGTAGGTCAAACTCCTAGGTCAAGGTCAAAGGGTCAAAGTTGTTGGTATCTGAAAGAAGGTTTTGTCACAAGGATTACACATATGAAGTATGAAAGCCCTAGCACCAACTGTTCAAAAGTTATGGCCAAGGTTAAAGTTGGGTAAAATTTTGTTAAACTGGGTCAAACTCCAAGGTCAAGGTCAAAAGGTCAAATATGATGGTACCCAAACAGGGGCTGACAAATCCCATTGCCCGACGCCCGGGGCTAGTGAATTTTAAGGGTGGGCAAGTGGAATTTAATCAATTACTTGCCCGTGGGCAAGTGACTTGAAAAAATAAAATCCATATGCAAGTCATAGATCTTAAGGAAGAGAAGGACCTTGAGCTGAAAAAATACTTGTCATTCAATTTTTTTCATATTTTGTATATTTCTAATTAAGTATGTTCCACATATCTTAAAGCAGTTATTTCATTAGGTTTCTTACCTTATTTTGGAGATATTGATTGACAAATAATATGCCCTACAGTATCTAAGTGGAGTTTTAATTCTCCGTGTTTCCGGGCTCATTACTCTGTCCATAATGAGATTTTTTAAGCACATATAAAAAATATCAAAGTGGACATGTATCTTTCAAAATATTTCAGAGTATAACGAGGATTTAAAATTCGAAAAAGGAAGTTTTGTCTATCACACTGCATCTGGATAGGGAAAATTACGCACTTTTTAAGACAACTTAAACAATAAAAAACGTAATTTACAAAAAATCTATCATTCAATATTTTTTTAATTTACGTTGAAATGCAAATCCTTCAAATTATTGATTAACTGTAAAAGTTTCGAAAGATGAAGCTGACCTCATTATTTCACAGGACATCGTTAAAGAGGACATAAGCATGACAAAAACGTGTCATGTTACATTTCTCGAGTACGGGAAAAAACCAACTATGACGTCACATGTAAGCTAAATAAGCGAAATAAGATATACCTACATATTTCCGTCATCAGTCATGCAAAAATAATTTTTGTGTTCCCCTTTTCTCAAAATATTTCATCATATACTGATTATGACCTGTTCTTACATAATAATACCGCCCCTGTGTTCACCGAGTATGATCTTGCTGTACTAACAGATCGTGTATGACGTCACCGAGTTGTTGGACGCGCAGTTCAGGGAAACAGAGGAGTGGATCAATCTTTTTCATAATTTGTTAATGTTTACAAGAATGTTAAAACTTTTTTTTATTTTTTTTTTATATAAGATGGTAATTAAAGTTAAAAAATTGTCAAAAATTTATACAAGAACTGATGCTTTACACGCTTTGCACTTATATAAACGGAGACTATAACGTAGCTAAACAAAGTCATGTGACCATAAGTCCTTCATCCCCTTAAGGTATCCGATCCATAATAGCCTCAGATTCAATGAATCTGAATGCATAACAGATATATATTGGCTGAATACTCAGTATATGTGGACATAATCTTCATGTTTTAGTATCAATATGTAAGAGCGGAATGTGTCCTAATTTTTTACCTTGTCCTGTCCTTGAAGAGTTATCCCCCTTTGCTTTTAATCAATAAAAATCAATTCTAAAATAATCTATCCTGTAAAAAATTAGTTTTCAATCGTTTTTCTATTCCTAATAATTAAATACATCTTTCCACCAAAGCATTTTTTGATATTCTTAGTATTTAAATTTTTATTTTAAAAAATTTGCTTGTCCCCATAGACCTCAATGCATTCTTCATTAATTACTTTCTGCTTAGGTAATTATATTTTTGAAAATTTCTCCTGGTAAATCCTTTTCTACTCTAAAATGCTTTGATTCAATTTCCGAGTATTTAATACAGGATGGATAGTTAAGGTTAGAAAATTATCTCCTTTTATGGATCGGATACCTTAAGCTTTGTGCAGGGGTTTGCATGATCTACTCAGTATTTGTATTCCATTTTTAAATATATATATATATATATATATATATATATATATATATATATATATATATATATATATATATATATATATATATATATATATATATATATATGATAATAGTTTATGCATGGTGGGACAAGCAAATATTCAGGTAGGGCAAAGTGAATTTTGACCATGCACTTGCCCTTGGACAAGTGCCTAATAAATCTATTTGTCAGCCCCTGCCCAAAGAAAGGTCCTGTCCCAAGAAATACACATGTGAAATATGAAGCTACAACTCTAACCAATCAAAAGTTATGAGCAAGGTTAAAGTTTTTGCGGACAAACAGACAAACAGACGGACGGACAGGGCAAAAACTATATACCCCCGAATCTTCGATACGGGGGCATAAAAATCAAGTCAACATGGCCACAATATAGGAATGGACATCAAAAATAGTCAAAAAACAATTTACCTGGGATGTAGGAAATGTATGCAGCTGCACAGGATCCACAGCATTTCCCTAGATAAAATGATTGATAGCAATATCCCGGGAAAGTAGATATTAAAGTTGTGCAGTCCATGCCACTAGCAATTACCCCTGGGGTATCCCCGAATACACAAGTGTCGGGAACAGATGCTGCGCGCGAGTCTGAAACACATTGTCCAGCAACACACCACTGCACAGAGAAAATCTTAGTTAAAACAAGAAGTGTAAAATGCCCAATTAGCTACTGTATGTGTACTTATATAGGCGGGCTTCATATTTTAGCGGCGTTGGCGCAGACAACGATGCGCTAATTCATGAATACCGCTAAGAAATCATCTATAAATACAATATACGGCACGGACATGTATAGCGCTAATTCATGATTTCGCCAACTTCATACACAGCGATTGCGCTAAATGTTGAATACGCCAATTTAAGTACACGTACAGTATCTCCGTCAAATTAAGGTCAAGATGTTACCTTTTTGTTTCCACATGGGGTTCCTTCCCATGGTACTGCAGTAGAACAGTACCCACTTCCGTCAGGAATAGAGCAGTACATAAACGCACATACAGCTGAGGGATCCGAAAAGAAATTCTGAAATTCAGAATAGCCCATGCTTCATTTTGAAATGTGTACACTTAAATATTTAACATTTTCATTTTGAAAAAAATAAACCACACCCTGCAGAAAAATGAGCTGGAATTGTCTTTCTTGATTCTGCACTGTTCGTCAATCGAATAAACCTGGCCAGCCAGAGTTGTCAGATAGCTGTCCATGGCTGTTGGGTTGTGACTAGCGGTAAGGAATGACATACAATTGTTACCACTCCTGAAAAATTATATTAAACCAATTTTTTGAAAATAGCATTTTTCTGGCATATAAAATGTGTCATAACTATTTTATTTATTTGTATTTTTAAAAAATTGTAATTATTTTTGGGATTATTGAACATTTAACTTACGTATCAAGATCTGCGATATACTGTTCAAAGTAACTGACGGAACAAGAAGAAAACGACCAATGGTTAATGGCACGTGAATCAGTGACACCACCACTGCTAGGAGACATAGTGTACTTGTCGTCTGCTGAACAAGAATTCCCATCACCATCATGAGGGGCCCCCAAACTTCAAACCCAAAAAAATTCACTGAACATTGAAAATGTTAATCGCCCGTTCAAAGAAGAACTGGTATCCTTATTGTTACAGCAAGGGGATCAATTCTCACATAAACTCTTTTATATGGAACTGAATGCAGCATTTTACTTACTTGTGGCCTAGTTCGTGTGCTGCGACAGTTGCAATAATTGCGTCAAAATGGTCCTCTACGATTGAGTTGCTACTAGATGTACACATAGCACTAACCCAAGCTAAACCTTGATGACATGTACAAAGTTGTAAACCAAATAAGAAATGTAAAATAATAAAGTTTAAATTTCTTATTTCTGGAGTAAATGCTAAACATACTATATCGGAGACTCTAAAAATAATTTCAATTAAATAGCATTGAAAAGATATAATATAGACTGTGCATTGTACATCTAAATATAAAGAGTAAATATGTTTATATATAGTAAACACATTCATTATTCGTTGAAACTTCTTGAACACTGAAAAATATCATACCAGCATTACTGGTGCTTCCCCCACTTGTCAGGTCATACCTGTTTCAATGGTGAAAGATGAGAACATTATGGTAAAGAAACTGTATAAAACTTAAAGAAATTCAGAAAGTGTCAATTAAACGTGGTGAAAAGAATATAATGGTAAGGATACCCTGTGAAAAGCATAGCATGGTCGTATCCTGGAAGGCCGGAAGCACTTGAAATCCAGGTCCGGAAGTTGTTGAGGGCGCTGTTTGAGTTTACCTGGTCTCGACCCGGAGCGCTGATCTTAACCGACTCTGTCCATGTAGAAGAACTTGGATCCTACAGATTAAAGTCGCCCTTATTTGCATTTGAGTAATTTTATGATTTAAACATGGTTTGGTATAATCTGGAATCTGCATGACTGTCAGATTTCGATGAATTTACGATTTGCAAGATAATTTTTAATATTTACAGCTGTTTCATGTTCATGTACTTACTTGTACAATCCAAAGGCGGCAGTAATTTACAACCTGTAAGCTTGTAACATATTCATATTAAGTTAATTATACTCACATCTGCAATCAAAATACCGGCGTACACTACTTTAATGGTAAACGTCACGCCTGTTATAGATTGGTACCTCAGATCAATCTATTGGAAAAAAAATCTTCATTTATTTACTTTATGTTTCTGGACATTCATACATGCAGTTACATGACTCTCTATATCAGTACTGCGTTCATGAGGAAGGGAGGGGGGGGGTTAAATTTCCTTGATTGCTAAAAATTCAAAGGTTCGTGGGGATGAAAGAAAACGGAACGTCTATGTTACGATAATTGAGGTTGCCAATTCACATGGGTATGGGGTGCCCACAAAATCCATAAAAATTCGAAAATAATGATTCCACCACAGTATATTTTTTAACAGTATATTTTTCTAAACTCACAGCATTGATTGTAAAGGCATAAAATTCGCGGATGTTTTCTTTGGCTTCGGTGTCCTTTCCAGCAGCTGTTGTCTGTGTGCTTCTTTGATACCAGCTGCAAAATGCATCAACATTTACAATTTTTTTTCTTAGTTTCTCTCCCCCCCCCCCCCTCAAAACACATTCCGTCATTTATCTCGTTTGAAAAAGTTCGAGGTGTAAACAGAACACTTTATAAAGGTTTATAAAATTTTGAATTATTTTTCTAGTTTTCATTTTATGTATCATATAATTGCATACTCCATTATATTTCTCGCACCATTACATTGTATCATGAAAATATATACTGAATTCTGTCATATATGACTTACAAATTGTATATAGGAAAGTCTGTCACAACGAAGAGCTCGACCTTCAAGTCGCCAACGTAACGCTTAGAGCGCTGATTTTCAGTGTGATTATACAATTTTGGCCGTTTTCCTCCCTCTATCAAAATAATTAAAAACAACCTGTATCTTAAAAAAATATAAACATGAATATTTGTCGACTTAGGTGGTATATAGAGTTAATTGTGAACTTGGTGAAAGATTTAATCAACAAACAATCTGTAAGATTTTTTAATTACATAGTATAAAACTTTTCACTATTGCCAGAGCAGTTGCATATTATTTAGCAAACATTAAGTGCTTAAAGGTATTAAAAAGTATTTTATTATTCCATTATCAAATGAAAATATATGATTCAGGAGAAAGAACCTTGCTCATTCATAGAAATAAACATGTATACAGTCGAATTATAACTATTTCATAGAATGATTCTTCTTGGGGTTCCCTTCCAGATTTTCTTACAGGATTCCATTGAACATTCTGGTTAGAAATCACTTTTTAAATGGTCTAATTGTTCTGGACAATTGTACACGTGTTCAGAAACAGGAAGGGGTATTTTTGTAAGTTAGAAGACCACACTTTCATGTCTGATATTCTCCTGTAATCGATTCCTTGCCTTTTCCTTTATCGTTGCTTCGACATTTATTACTAAAACCTGCATTATGGTGAATGTTACTTTTCCACTTTTCCTATAAAATCCCAGGGTAATAAATTTTGCAAATATCGAATGCCACTTTCCCAAAAAGTCCATGTCAGGTCTATTCCTCCCTACCGACTTCCTACATCCATTAACTTTCCTTTTCTTTGCCCTTTCATCCCTATATCCTTGCACATTATCGTTGATCCAAGTCGGAGAGTTTTGAACGTGTATCATTTTTACAGTGTGGAATTCTCTACTTCAGGTCTGCTTGGATCTGTCGTGCAATGCCTTGCAATATCTTCCAATATGAAACGATCAACATAAATTGTATGCAAGTATATGTTTTCCGGGTCCCTTGGAGAGGTGAGAATTTTTAAAAATACACTTTTGACTGTCCTTCGTTCGAACACAAAACAGTCTTATTTTCTGTTATAACCTTTGCACTTGCTTTGGGTAAATCCTGCAATTATGATTTCTATCTTACGATAGAATCCAGGTTTTTCTAAAATCGCCTCCATTAATACCTGTACATTATGATTGTTTCGTAATTTGTTTCTAAGGCATGTTACAATTAAGAAACTGTCGTTTGATTTCGTTTTCTTGTGTGCAGCAGTCGTACATGTGTACAGTGTATGAATTAACTGCAAACGTCATGTCATATAGAAACATTCTTAAATTTGAATCCGACATGCTCTTTTCCAGCTCCAAACAATTCCTTGCATTATAGCCGCTCTAATATATATATATATATATATATATATATATATATATATATATATATATATATATATATATATATATATATATATATATATATATATATATATATATATATATATATATATAGTGTATGTGCAAGGGGTTTAAATAATCATCACATTGTCCAGGCAAAAACATAAATTTGTATATCGGATGTATGCTCAGAGTATACAGTGTAATATACTAAGTCACTTTAATGATATTTAGCAGGTATATTTGATTTCCAAAAAGATACATAATAGATAATAAAGATGTGTAATATATCCATCATAGAGGCCTTATCTCGACGAAAAAGTGCAGCAACATCCAACGGTAGTTTTGGTTACATGGTTTCATATTTATATTGACATTGGTACTTGTACAAACTAGCATTCACATGAAATTGTAATACATGTAATAAGTATCATAACTCAGATACTACCTGTATAAATGAAATCAGATTTAAAATCTACTCTTTCAGGTGGTTGATAAATTCTGTGTAGAATATTTCTACGACGGGGCACTTCTAGAGGTTCTATTGCATGGTAGGTACCATTAATAATCAGAGTTCCTTTCTGAAAAGCACAAATAGCAATGCAACTTCAAAGTCAGTCCCTTGTTTGTAAGTCATTTACTTTCCTGTGTGATTGTCAAGAGATATAACATAATATAGATATAATAATTAAAAAAAATTACATGCATATCAAGTTCTTACGAAGGAGTGCTGGCATTTTCCCATCGTTTTCCTTCTGCAGGTTAATGCGATCGCCGCCTTCTTTACTTTGTCTTGGTAAAATACGGTGATCTTATTTATATAGATAGAAAAGAAAGTAAAAGTTATCGAAATCAGTTCTGTATGACAAGTAATTGCATATTAAAGATTTTAAAAAGGCATATAAATATAACTTTGAAATGACAGTTATGAAAACAACGAACAGATCTAGAAATAAATAGATAAATAAATAGATAAATTGAAATAAACAATTACTTGAACCAATTTCACAGTACTACAGATAAATAGAATTAGAGAAAGATTTATCAAAAGAAAGAAGTCAAAGATAAAGTTATTTATATAATTACAGATAAATAGAATTAGAGAAAGATTTATCAAAAGAAAAAAGTCAAAGATAAAGTTATTTATATAAAATCAAAATGAATCAGTTTTTTTAAATGTAAGTTTCGATTAGAAATATGTTGAATTCATTTGAAGTAAAAAACAATCAAACATGTCAATCAATATAAAGTTCTAAGTCAACAGAATACAGTAAATTTTAAATAAGGAATAAGAATGGCCGTGCTACTCAATTTTTCTGCATTCCGAAGAAACATTCCTGTTTGAAATCTTAATGAGCATTTAAGGACACTTAAAACTAATTATCTAGTAGCATATGGCTAATTTATATATTCTATAGAAGATAACTTTTGTAATTCAGTTACAAATGGGTAAATTTTGTACCTAATCGTTCAAATTGGCGCTAATCGTTTAAACTGAAGGTCTCTCTGTAAGGAATATGAGTGCCTTAATACGTGTCAATATTTTAAGTAGAAATCAACCAAACGAAACATTTAACATTTTAACACCATAAATTGTCCAAGCTACATGTATGGTCTAAATATGGTCACATATAAGTTTTTCTACCGTTTTTTTTTAACGTGCTGTATCATACATAAATATGTATGAATTACATTTAAAGAAACATATAAAAACCTTAAATTTGAGGATAGTCATTCATTAATGCCGTTTTTGGCAAATAAGTACATTAAAGTTGTTTCTAGCACACACATGCATATTTCTTGGGTGTCACCAGGTCTATTTACAGGTACCTTTACACCGCATTATAATTATGTAAAAATAATCCATATCAACAATTAAAAAAACCCTCATGCAATAAAGGTGAAAGGTTTTAAATTTAATATTATGGCATAAAAAATGAAATGTTTGACTCGAATTAGAAAAATATTTCATGTAAAAAATTTCAGATAGATTTTCTTCTTCCAAATATTTAAATCAGGAATCAGAATAATAAAGACACTAGTGAAAAGGATACAATGGGTTTTTAGCAACAAACTGAATGATGTGGATTTTGCGGATGATGTCGCCTTATTATCGTCATCATAACAACACATATAAAGGAAAACAAATTTGGTGGAAGAAGCAGAGAGAATGAGACTCAAAGTTAACGTTGGAAAAACAAAATTGATGAAAATTAATGCCAGAAACGAGAAAATATACATTAAAGGGGAAGAAGTACAGGAAAAAGACTCAATTACATACTTAGGAGTAAAATCTCTAAAGCAAGGAACATCTTTATCAGATCGAGACATAAGAAGATATGGAGCAGTAATAACATCAAAAGGGCACCTAATTTAAAACTGCTTAACGATTGTACTACCACTACTTTTATATGGAATCGAAACATGGAAATGAACAAACGACATAACAAATACTTAAGATTTTATGATAAAAAATACTTTAGAAGAATAATGAAGATAAAATGGGGAGATCGAGTGAAAAGTGAAGACCTGTTAGGGAGAGCAAGGATGAGACGGATATAAGAGGAAGTAAGCAGGAGAAGATGGAAGGTCTTGTTGGACATGTCTAACCAGTGACTGTATCATCGCATTAATATGGGAGCTCAAAAGAATAAGAAAGCGTGGACGACCAAAAACAACATGGCGCCACAGAGAAGAAAGGAAGCACAGGACAGATGTTGGCAGGGATAGACATTAACTTTCAGATTCTCTGTAAGGAATATGAGTGCTTTAATACGTGTCAATATTTTAAGTAGAAATCAACCAAACGAAACATTTAACATTTTAACACCATAAATTGTCCAAGCTATGGTCTAAATATGGTCACATAAAAGTTTTTCTACCGTTTTTTTTAACGTGCTGTATCATACATAAATATGTAAATTTATAAATATCTCAAACTTTGACTTGTCCGAATGCAAAACTTGGTTGCCCAAAATTAGGATGGAACTGAAGACGAAAATTATTAGTTACGGCAAACGTTATGAAAAGAAAAAATGTGACGAAATACACTACTGTCAATTTGGCAAGTTGAGCTACCGAATACATGAAAAAATTTCGATCCTGCATTTGTACATAAATGTATACCGCTGTACTTCTAAATTTAACCTGTTAACACACACTGCCATGCAGCAATAACCCTCCGTTTCCTTTTAAAAAACATATTTTTGAAAATTATTCGCGATAGGATCATTTTGTGATTCGTGATTTTCAGCGATAACTTTGAAGCAACGCTTAAGGAAGATACCGTTGCTACGAAAAACATACATCTTACCTTGATCAGGATACAACGTGTTCAATGTAATTATATTCTGTGCGTGAATACTAATTTCCTAATAAGAAGTTAACAAAATTTTGTTAGACGTAGAGTGTATTTCCTACGAAAGCCGGAAAACAACAAACTCGATTTTTAAATGAACGGTATAATCCAGAAACGCTACCAAGGAATTTCGAATACAAAACATTGTCAGTCAGGTGCGTGGCGGAAATCAAGTGTTCATTTTATTGTTTTATTTATAAATTTATAAATATGTACATTTGTATGAGAAAAATTCACTTGCCCGATCGGGCAAGGATGTCGACAATTTTACTTGCCCGAACTGAGAATTAACTTGTCCCGGGCAATCGGACAACCGTTAATGTCGATCCCTGGTTGGCTGGCGGTCTTGGAGTGAAACGGGAACAACAGCAGCCAACAGGTTGAATGAAGACGCTCTGTGTAGACACTATGCCGCCAGACACGAGAAGTGCATGAGGTAAGGAAATGGCTGTCGTAAAGTGTTAGATAGAATAAAAATATGAAACATTGATTGAACTTTACTTTCTTTAAGCACTACAATATACATTATTATACATCACTTTTTAAAGATGAACAATGATAAAATGTATATTCCTTTCTTTGAAACTTCTTGAAAGGTACACACTTTTAGTCTCTATTCTTTTTGATATCAAAATATGCAATGCATTTTTGAAACTTATGATCAGACGTAAAAGTCCTTTCCAGATCAAATCGATAAATCAAATGCCACACAGGAGCTAGGTGTATTCCTGTACGCCCACAGAGAGAGAGAGAGAGAGAGAGAGAGAGAGAGAGAGAGAGAGATTCACAAATCTAACGATCCCTATGTAGCTATATACTCCTTACAGAGTACCTTTCTGTTTGGAACCGTCTGCTGTTCTACTTTGCCATTTCTCAAGACATACACAGGTCTTTTTATATCTACGTTCAAGTTCCTTTTTAACCGTAAATGGTGTTTTTGGTGTTTGAAAGTAAAACGGACTTCTTTTTCGACTGGAAACTGATCCATGTCTCGTCGAAATCGTCTGATATCATAGATTTCTACTTGTTCTGAAAATGAAAATTGGTATATTTCTTGATAAATATACATGTATTTTGATTGGTTTTTTAGCAAAATTGTATTAAGTGCTGCTGGACCATATTACTGAGAATCATTAAGAGTAATTCTCTGTAACTACTTTTTTTTGGCAAGCATGATTACCAGTTTTGAAGAAACTTTGTTCATTATTATGGCTTGACATCAAAATCAAATACCGGTACCAAACAAAATTTCGTTCCTAAGTATCTTGGTTGCTATGGTACCAGACAGAAAATATTGAATAATTGAGATAATCAGCTACTTCGAATCTATATAAAGCCTTGAGTAAAATATGCTAGAAAATCATGTTGACCACTTACACATTAAGCCTTATTGCCACTTCTGATGAAAAGGAACTAGTTAGAAAATATCTCTAAAGCCTAAATATATGATAACCATGGTGACCAAGGCTAAATTTTGCATGTATTCTACATGTATATCAGGGATGGGGTCAATTACTTTATAAAGTAATTAATTAAATTACAATTACTTTAACTTTTTCTTCAATTAAATTACAATTAAATTACAGGCTTTTTAAGACATGTAATTAATTAAATTACAATTACTTTGCAAAAGTAATTAATTAAATTACAAATTACATTTTTAATTTTTTGGAAAATTTTCATAATCCTTGTCAATGAATATACAGAACATCATTTATTTGTATATAAGCTCACCCTCTGCACAAACAATACAAGAAATAATATGCTATAGGCATTGTGTATCATTCTGGTTTAATTTATAACATTTATTTACAAAACATTAAAGAAACTCTTAAAGAACTATCCGAGATCAGTTTGATGCAGTTTCCACCACACAAAACTTACATCTACACAAATTGCATAGCTTATGATATTTGATTAAAAGTGAGTATTTTAATAGAGTGAAATGAGTCGCAACTGTAACCCCTCAAATTAAATATTTCCTTTGAAGGTAACCTGAACATCCAAAATTGCTATTTATGTTGTACAATTTTACTTCATAAATCAGAATTATACAGATAGAAAATTCATTCATAAAAATCTGTTTAGATGTTTAAATAATTATCAAATTGAAAGTTTTTCTTTTCTAAAGCTAGCGGAGCATTTTAAATTGAAATAATTATCTCCATTGGCTTTGTCTTCTAAATCATGGAATGAATATCTCTTTAGAGGAGTTGATTTGTTTTGATTGCAATTTAAAGCTGTGATCTGAAGGACAATTATCTCTTCCCAGTAAGAGAGAACTTAATTAATGACACACACCTTCTTTTTCTTTATTATTGATCAAACAACGAAGATTGAAATATAATAAATGTGTGTTTCATAGCTGAATAGACCTAAGAAGGGTGGTTCAAAATTCATATTTATAAACATAGATAAAAAATTCAAAATGTACATAATGATTAGAAAGAAACTAATTTATTATTATCAAGCCAATCATTTAATTATTTTTTTGTAAGCATTAACCTAAGATTGAAGGATTGAGGATATGTTTAACAATAAAATAAAAACCAGTAAAATGGGGAGATAGTGGTGACGATATATCATGAATATATCATGAATGTGTATTATATAAAGTAATTGAATGTAATTGAAAAAGTAATTGAAATTACATGGTATTTTTTTCAGTGTAATTAATTAAATTACAATTACAAGTAATTGAAAAAATGTTCAATTACAAATTACTTCCAATTACTTCAAAAAATGTAATTAATTACAGTCAATTACAATTACTTTTTTCAATTACCCCATCCCTGATGAATATGCACAAAAATGCTCAGTATTCACAAATGTTTACGTAAGAATTTATACACGTATGACCAAACTCAAAAAACAGAGAAAAATAATAATACTAGTATTTGACCTTACTTAAATAGATCGCAGCAATATTATTCCAAAATTAATCATTGTTGCCATGGTAACAACATTGTTAAACACAATTTGTGACTTAGTCTTGATAAATACTGCCATCTTATTAAAAGACATTGAGAATAAATTCTGTCAAATACAGATGAAGTTTGACACAGATAGCATAAAGAATGTTCGGAAGTAATTGCCACATTATATTAATCATGGAGACAGTACAGCAGTGGTTTAAACTAATCATGTATTACATGTACTTTATGGAATAGGTACCTTCTAATAAAAAATGTATTGTCTTATTCGCCTAAGAGTTGATTATATTGTATTGATGAACTTTGTTGAAAAAAATATTTAATACTTTTAACATTTTATATAGTCCGTGTATCTGTATAAAACGCTGTTGCTTTTCAATTCTTTTTTCCCATGGTAAAATTAGTTAGGGTCATTTTCCCAATATTTTTCATTCCAAAATTACACCAGGTACAAGTATGTAACTCTGCAATTGTAATGAAGGTTAGTTATTGGACGTGTCAGAAAATGCTATTTTTTCCGACTTAAGGGCCATTTTTAGTCATGTCACATAGCAACCACTTTTTGCCTGTTATACATTTTATAGTATAAAATGTTTTTATCATAAGAAGTTTGAAGAAATTCTGTGACTCTGCGAACCATAGCTCCCAAGTAAAAGGTAAGGTCATATTACAGAAAATGGTTCTTAATTTATTTAATTTCTATCACACATGTGTATTTCAAGTGTTCAATAAATGATTGTTTAGAATATACAAAAGGATTTCTATTTATGTATTTCACACACCCTCACACACACACACACACACACCCACACACACACACTTTGCAAGTGATATGTTTTATGTGAAATCAGATGTATGAACATCATAGAATTTGCCTATGTCTACGTTTATGTCTGACCTTTTTTTTTAGTTAGATGTACATTGTATAGCAAGCAATTACAAAGTGTTAATTTGGGGTATTGAAAATTCTGCGAATTGATATTGCAACGTTCCAAAAACCATTCCACAATAAATTTAAAAGTAAAAATTGTTTAAATATATCCATGACCACTAAAATCACTTACAAAATACGTTATAAAACGTATATTTTGGTGGGCCTTCAGTGAAATAAATCATGATCGTGCATTATAAAAGTTAACATTTATGTTTTTATTAAAGCATAATCACATATTCATTCAAATTTTGAAAATGTTGAAAATATTGCCATTCAAAAACCAGTATTTAAAAAAAAATTTCATCGTCAAAATACCGGTTATCCGGTTTACATTACAGGGAAATTGATGAGAAGTTCTGTATATGGTATAACATTTTTTGGCAAGGGAAAAACGTATGATTTATCTAAAACAATTTGTACTTAATTCTGTGAAGTGTAAACCCGAGGGAATCATTGCAACCTAGAAAACGTTAATGGGGGCTTCGAAATTCTGCATATAAGCATGAGATGAAAGTAGCCCGGGCGTTAAGAGAGAACTCTTAAAAATGTATATACAATGCTGAAAGGTTAGTAATTTTAATGAAATGACCTTTAAGGACACAGAAATTTACTTATGTAAATGGTCTTCTTACGTACTAAGTACACATTGAGCATATGCTTTCAAAATTGAATAATTTGACAAAAAATAATGAAATGCAATTACAAATGTAATCAATATTTTTCTCTTCAGAAATTGAAAGGCTGTACTCGAATTTGGCAATAAACGTTTATAACTTTTATTTCTCATGATGAAGCGAAAATCACAAAAGTTAGATATAAAGAGCTTTAAAAAATATTACTCTATTTCTCACTCTATTAGAAATTCTTAAGAATTTATCAAGGCCAACCCTGATATTTGTTCATCTAAGTGAAAGAATAATATCGTGTGATATTGTAACTATTTAATTATCTGTAAAATAAATCATCCTTGATGTAAATATTTTCTTTTTTATAAATTAGATTTGAAAATGAAAAATCCCTTAAGTACATCTTTCGTTTATTACAGATGTACTATAAATTTCCAAAAGGATGAATATCATATTATGATAGTTACATGTACACTACATTTTATCATTAATATGCTTCTAGTCATTCAGTTCACCATGCAAACTATGTCCCCTTTCAAAAAAATTAATTAAGCACAAATGATGACCCGAATAAAATTGATCATAGTACAATACATATTCACAATTATGAATTGTAAAAGTTAAACATCACAAATAATTTCTGCTCTTGATCAATTAGAATCACATTCTGTCTGTCGTCCATCAATCGATATTCAACCATCTAAATACACAAACTTACAGTCGGAATTAACAGTAATTACATACATTTTAACCGTCTATTGTCATTTATTATTTACTTATGAAATATTAAAACATTTACTCAAGAAAAGTCTCAATCTAGATATGAGAAACTACTTTAAAAGTCAGCCCCTTCTCGTCATTATGAAAAAAATCTTACACTAATCTAGGCCAAGATATGACAATGTACAATGTATTTGCTCAGTTTGAAGGTTTGAAGGTTTTCATTGAACTTTTATGTAAGAATTTCATTTTCCAATGTAAACATAAACTCTATTGAATTCGGTACACACGTTTGACTTTATTGTTTAGGAAAGCTTGGAGAAATGTATGTATATAATTGAAAAAAATCTTAAAATGTGTGAAAGTGAAACTATATTGTCTCAGAGTCGGACATTTAATCATTGCTTAAAGCATGGCTGAGAGATTTGTTTGGAGAATTTGTCAAAAACTTAAATGTTACATTCACCATCAATGTTATTATTTCTTTGATAAAATTATTCAACGATTTTAGTGTGTATTTGACTTCTTTGAATGAAACATTTAAAGTTTTAAAAATGTGTAGTAAGTAGTCTTAGAGTAAGTGTTATTTTCAACAACAAAAAATATGACGCAAACTCAAATATCACATTTGAAGAGATACATGAAGGATCTTATTGAAGCACCCCCCTCTCTCTCTCTCCTAAAATTTATTTAAATGGTTCTAAAATGTATTTGTTAAATTATTTTATTTGCTAGGTATACAAGTTATAATCAGAATCAAATCTATGGACAAGTACAAATTTATCTTCATTACATTTAACATATCAAATATGAGTATTGCAATTATGATAAAAACATTTATATATACAATGTACAATATATTATAATTTCCCTAATTACGAGTATATACATTGTACAAGGTGTTCATCTGGTTATTATAGCATCAGATTTATTTGTGTACAAAGACCCTCTCTTGTTCTATATATCAAACTTAATTTTCTTGAGGTCTGACGACACGTTCCTCAAATCTCTTTGTAATATATCAAATTATTTTATAATTATAAATTTCTAAACCGTTTTTTTAAATGTCTGGAAAAATACACCAACCAAAAATCGTGATATGAACAATTCAAGTAATATTCTGTAGGATTATATAGGAAACACCATCCTCTGGAATCTTGCATAATGTACCTCAATTTTTTTTGTGAGGAAGTTTCTTAAGGAATTAGAACTTTAATATCAAATTCTTGTGAAAAATTACATATTTTTGAGGAACGTTTCGTCAGACCTTATTATTCCTTCCTAAACATAAAAGAGAATATAAAATGTTAAAGAGAATAATTAGTATCTATCTTTCTATCGATCGATCGATCGAGAGAGAAGCAATTTGTAACCGCTTAACCGATTACTCGCTCGGAACGATGGGAATCGTTAGGAAATCTGCAATCTTTAAGTCGAAAATACACATGTAATTAAACTATTATAAAGTTGAGCACAATTCTAAATTTTTTTCAAAATCAATTTTTATATATAAAAAAATCCGCAGAGTAAGCGTTTTAAATAAAGATTGCGGTGGCTGGGTATTTAGTCAGTTTGCGAAGTGTTAATAAGTGTTTCAATATCCTGTTTCTACCCAGTCCGTCATGTAATTCATTAATGATGTTAATTTAATCACTGTTGAGTACTGTGAATTGAGAGGCGTATCTTACCACGTCTATCCTTTGTGTTGTATTTCACTTTTAGAATTTTTGTATAAGGACGATGGACCTAATTCGAAATTTCGAGCCACTGCGCAGAAAACCGCGCATATGCCTTGAATAAAATTGACTTAATTATGTATTGCAAAAGATAAAAAATATGCATTTTTAATTCTTTTATAGATATTCAAACGTTTCCCCTCAATTCAAAAATATTGTAAATATTTCGATTTATTTTCATTGTTAATTTTATAAATAAATGATTTATTTGGCCAAGGTATTTTCATTGAAAATTTCCCCCAAAATGTGCCCTACACCTGCCTTTGACATGCCCTTCTGAAAAATCTAAACCGATGACCCATTTATTTTTTGGCATAATTTTTTTTTTAAATTATTATTATTTCCGCTCTTTAACATTCATATAACAGTATATTTATACATATAAACATTGCGGATTTTTATTAAACATTCACTCTCTGATTCATTTTTTTTTTTTTGCATAAATTGCTGGTAAATTGTCTAGTTAACATTGTACTTTAATATGAATAAAAATTCTATTGCAGAATTTTTTTCAATGATCAATCATACCCTACACTAGTAATTTCCCATTATTTCCTCTAGTAATTATCGATTTCCATCGCCAACTTTTGAAACCCTCCCCATTAAAAATCTATATCGATGACCATATGTTTTTTTTTATTGATTTTAACTCACCAAAAGTCACTTTGCCTCATATTAGAATTTGAATAAAAAATCTATTGCAGAAATGAATTAGGTCCGTCGTCGTTAAATATTCTACTTTATATTTCCGACATTTTATAGTTGTCATATCCGACACTTTTGAAATAATAACTTTCCGACGATAGAAAAAACTGAAGACTTTCCTAATAAAAATTCTTAAAAGAATAAATTATTGATATCGAAATAATAAGTTTTGCTTAACTTTTACAGAAAATGATGTAGATTCTGATCGGAGTACCTGTGAGTGTTGTGACCTTTCGCTCATCTGGTTTCAAATCAAGATATTCAGTTTAAAAACTACAGGTCATCGTAGGAAAGTGTTAGTAATATTGCGTAGAAAATTTCGATAATACTATTTCAAGTGTTTTGGACATAAAATTGTTGCAGTCACCGACATACAATGCAAGCGTACATTGAATTTGCCGTTTTAAATCAGTTATAAATTAGCTTGGACATAAAATGCGTATATTTGTGATAATGAATGCACTGATTACATATTAAATTATGCAAAACTTTGCAAGCATAGATTACATTTTAAATCATGAAATTAAAATGATAAATTACGAGATAGTTCAGACAGTGACTTAGTTTTAATTATGGTGACAATTCAGAATAAACTTGTGTGACATTTACTGTGAAAAAATCATCAATGTCTCTGGTTTCTAAGACACGTTTCATAGTTTTCTTTAATTTTTTTTCTTGTGTATTAAAAATTGAAATAAAATATAAAGTATCTCTGATCAAGCATAAACAGAATGATTCTACCTACTCCCTTTTAAGTCTTCTTGGGTATAAGAATAAAACTTGAAAAAAATATGTCAAGAAAATGGGTTATTTTTTGATACGAATAACAACTAATTAAACGGTTGCAACATCTTACGGTTAACCGATTAGCAATTCTGCATTCTATAGCCATCCCTTATATATATATATATATATATATATATATATATATATATATATATATATATATATATATATATATATATATATATATATATATATTCTTTTAACAGATCTGCAAAAATTCATGAAACATTCTTACCTTCATACACGTAACCATTTTCTAATGATATAGCAGAAACTATGCAGACACAAAAAAGACAATATACTATCGGATACATTGTTATCCGTCAGGAATACCCCGTCGTCGGTTTAAAGTGACGAAACGATCCCAATGCCGGGATATTTAAACCTTTGTTAATTAGTACAACGTACATTTTAAAGACAGTTATCCTGAATATCAATATCTTGAAAGACTCTTAACAGAAAGCTTTATTCATGATTGCCAGTTCTTATACTGGTACATGTAATTCAATTGCTAGGTTATTTTTAATTCAATTTGACCTTACTTTTGATCAAGTACATGAACCTGCTACACTGGATAGATACACAATCATAAAATTCCAATCTACAGACTACATGTTGAATGCAAGCATTGATTACATTTTACATTATGCAAAACTTTTAATTGCTGAAATGCTAGATAAACTTAACACGGTTTAGTGTGAAAGCGATAGAAAATAGAATCTAGATAGACACAACTGAAAATAGGACATTTGTAAATATGCTTACTTCCAGAAGTCAAATTTCATTAGACATCAATTAATGACAAGGATCAGGATTCATCATTGGTTGTCTTAATCCAAACATAAAGAAAACAGATTTAAGTTTAAAAAAAAATTGTATTCTACCATCACTTTTTATATGAACATATTAAAAGAATCACACTGAATCTAATCTAAAAGAATATCAGAAAAAAAGTTATCAATAAAAAGGTGGCTGCATTAACAGTCAATTGAGCCTTCAATTTCAAATTTAATAGAAATATCTTTCTTTTTTATTTTTCAAGCATCTTGAGAAAATATTTTATAAATACTAGTATATCATGATTAAGTTGTACAGATAGATTAGTGCAAAGCTTATTAATTTGATTATGATTCTGACATGTAATATATTTTCTAAATAAGAGATAGATACTTTTTATCAGTGGGTCAAGAAATTTATAATTTATGCAATTTAATATCTAAAAAAACACATTGGTTTACAATGAATATTCATATTTTTTTTTCATTGCATATACGACTTATATGAAAAATGAAAAATTTGGTGTTGTCAGATGTGATTATTTTAGCATCAGATTTATTTGTATACGAAGATCATTTAAATCCCTCTCTTGTTCTTTATATCAAAATTTCTCTTAATGTCCCTTCCTTAACATAAAAGAGAATTTAAAATGTTAGAAAGAATAATCAATATTTTTATAGGAAAATACAGAAATTGTATTATATATAAGCATTCTATTTTAAAAGGCTTCGTAAATTTTTTTTTCAATCTAGAAACAGAAGCATTTTCCTTCCCTATTTCACAATATGTACAATCATATTTCAAAAAATAAAGAGAAACAATACACTATAATTTGTACAATATGGAAACAAGTAAAAAAAAGTTTCACAATTTAAAGAATGATATAATATGCATTGTTACTTTCTAACAAAAAAACACATATATTTGGAATCTTATTTTAGCGGGACACTTCATCACAACCGAAACTTTTTTCCTCTGGCCACAATATATCATTCGCCAATCGTTCGATTTCATTTAATATCCAGTCTAATGTTGCTTCTGTTAGCTTTGGATTCGATATTGCTATTCTGAAGAAATTTGGCAGTTCACCAAGAGGTTGGTAAGCTAACATCATGCTTCCCTTTAAAGTCATCGATTCCTTGAGTTTAGGAGCCACCTTATGAATATAATAACGCATTATGTAATGATTTTAAGTGGTCAATTAACTTCACTGTTTACATAGTTTGAAGAAAAATTCCACTGTTATTTAGATACAGGCTCAAGAACTAATTTAAAATTTTAAAATATTAGTTTACATGTACACATAATTTTAGATTAACCAAACCTTGCTAAGAAGATTTCTTTGTTCTGTCGAGGTAAGATTTGGTGTAAAGAGTTGAGGCGGCTCATACCAGAAACAAACACAGGGACCCTCAATCTGGAAAGTTGTGTGATTGTTAATATATTGTTCATATAGGTATTTACATAGAAAATAAGGGGTTCTTTATGATCTTTCGTATTCTCTTTGTTTTTCTCTCTTTTTTTTTTGTTTTTCTGTATTATCCTCACCTCATCTGTAACAGTTGTAAAATGTGCCCTTTCTTTCACTTTTTGCTCAAGACACCTTTAAAAATTACAATAGAAAAGTCAAAGGAGACATTGATTAATAACAATAAATCTTAAGCTATAACAGTTGACAAATTTGACAAAATTATAAATTTTAACTAAAAGCATAATTCATAACAAACCGAGATAATTGAAAGTTCTTGTTAATGACATCTTCAAAACCACTGTCTCCCTGTAATTATAAATTCAAACTTAAAAAGTTGTTTTAGTAAACCAAAACGGATGTCTCCTATTCATATTAATTCAAAACTATTTCTAAGAGCAGAACAAATGACACAACATTATATCATGACATTCACATGTAGGAATTTTGTCTAGACTCAAATATAAAGAAGGCAATTTTCAATCACTTTAATCTGAGATCCAAAACCAGGGTCACACGTAGACCTTGTTGGTTGTTCTTATTATGATGTATCGTACGCGTGCATCTAGCATCATAAGTTTACATACATTAAATACTAGGACTAGTAATACTAGAGTTTTGTTTGAAAGTAATATTATACAGAATACTGCCAAATTGATAAATGTTCTTGAATTATAATGACGAAAAATATGCCCCGATTATGTCAATCATAAAAAGGTCAAGGCATAGTTATATTACCGTTAATTTATATTCTGTTTTCTAGTACTTACCTTCGACCTCCACATCAGCCATAACTTAAAGACATCATTATGTCGTCCACACTGAATGGCCTTGTCACCAGTGTCGTAGGTGACGTCATAGAACTTGTCTGATTGATAAAGATAGTCTGCGCACAACTCATTAGCTCTTTGTAGTTCGCCCTAAAACAAAGCAAATAGGCATGATTTATGTTGACATTTAAAAAAGTATTCGTTAAAAATAAACTTTAAGTTATCCTTATTGCAATAAAATACATATAAGACCAACCCTGTACATTATTTGACTTTAGCTACATGTTGTAACCATTACAAACGTTCAATAAAATATAAGAACAGTACTTTGTACACGTCGAACTTGAATTTCTAAATGTTGTTCAAAAAGAAAAAAAAATGTTTATTGGATTTATTTTCAAATTTCTGAGTCACTGTTTTTCTTTAGAGAAAAAATATTAATACAGATAAAACAGAAAAACATTTTGTAATTGATTACCGAATTGCGGACCAAGATGGCTGAACATTGCAAAGGTACTCCCATCATTTTATGAGGATTCCAGGTCATCGAATCACATCTAGAACAAAAAGTAGTAATCTTTAACTATGGAATTGACAGCTTATGATGATTTGTCAATAATATTAATGAATATTTTGTTGTTGTTTTAAAATGGTATCAACATTACATAGATAACTGATATTGAAAAAAGTATGGTCAATTATATGATACATTTTTAAATGCAGGTCATCCTTTTTTCATAAGTAAAACACAACAATTTGATGCGTTTATTATGGTGGCATATTTCTGCCCCCTACATGCAAGATAAATTATGTTGAAATGCAAGAAAAGTATGTCAGCATGCAAGATAATTATGTCAACATGCAAAATAATTATGTTGACATGCAAGTTATCAATCTTTTTTGAGAATCTAATTTTAATGTTGGCGTATTTCTGCCCCTACATGCAAGTTAAATTATGTTAACATGCAACATAATTATGTAGACATGCGACTTATTTATGTCAACATGCAAAATAATTATGTTGGCATGCAAGTTACCAATCTCTTTAGTATGATGGCATATTTCTGTCCCCTACATGCAAGATAAATTATGTTAACATGCGAGAAAAGTATGTCAACATGCAAGACAATTATGCTGACATGCAAGTTACCGATCTGTTTAGAGAATTTAATTCTAATTTTGGTAAACATACTCACTAACGCCGGTATACGACAACATACATGCAAGATGAAACAGAATTATGTTAACATGCGACTAATGTATGCTAACATGCAACATAATTATGCTTACATGCAACTTATTTATGTCAACATGGAACTTATTTATGTCAACATGCGAGTTTTATTTTAACATGTAAGATATTTATGTCAACATGAAAGAAAATAAGTTGCATGTCTACATGATTATCTTGAATGTTAACATAAATAAGTCGCATGTCAACCTAATTCTCTTGCATCTTGCTTGTATGATGTCATATAATGGCGTTAGTAAATAAGTTTACCAACATTAAAAGATTCTCTAAAGAGATTGGTAACTTGCATTTCAACATAATTATTTTTGGTAACATGCATGTCAACATAATTATTTTGCATGTTGGCATAATGTATCTTGCATGTATGGATCAGAAATATGCCACCATAATTACAATATTTGAATTTTAATGCGACGGTACATATATCAGTATCGATGTTTGTACGTCTGAGAGCTAGAGTGGTTTGAATTGTTAATATATTCCAGAGTACTTTTATTTTTGGAAGTAGAATTCTAAATCCATTTGTTTTATTCAGGTATCATTGATTATAATGCAGACAAATTGACTTTGTCTGACATCATTAACCAAGCTGTATACATGCGCTACAAAGCTTTAAAATTCTATATATTGTGTATTTACACATTAGAATTCATTAGATACTTCATAGCTAACTCTGTTATTTACCTGTTAACACCTTGCAGTAAGTGTTTGTATTTCCTTGATAATAACGCCGAACCTCCCCATGCACCCTAAATTGATAAGAAGAAAAGTACTGAATCAAAATTCAAATGAAAAGCTGAAAATTTGGGTAGTAAGATATGCATATTGAATTATCCAGAAACCCTTACGTCAACATGAAGCCAGATGCCGTATTTGTGACAAATGTCAGCTATTTTATCTACAGGATCATAAGCCCCTATTACAGTTGTGCCACAGGTTGCATTCACCATTAGAGGAATGCCGTTCTCAGCGATGGTCTTTTTAACTTCACGTTCAAGGTCACTCGGTTTCATTTTGCCTCTAAAGTATATCGATTCATTATAATCATGACATCATAAATTTAGAATTAACGCATATATTTTTGAGTTTCTTTCCTTTCTCTGATTTTCTGTTCTTTCCTTGATTTTAAGCTACAATAAGCAATGCATTAATTAAACATCACTTTTGTTAGTTTCAGAAGCAGCAATTCAAAAGGCCGATACTTGTTCATTCGGTAGTCAATTTTATGGGCTTATTTTAACAATGAAAGTGTACAGCTATTAATACAATGTGAGAAGTAACTTTTTTCTGTGGTTTATTCCTTTGTATACATGTATAAACGTATGATATAATAGTCCTCTGTATTTCTTCTGATTATTTACCGAATTTTATATGGCACTGGATATTCAGTATATGAAACTGAATGATATTGTTTTCATTATCGTATCTTTATTCTGGAATCGAGAAATAAGGTTTCTGATATGCAAATCAATGTTTTAATCATATCTTTGAAACTGGAAAGCAATAATTTTTTGCTTGCCAATCAAAAATGGTACTTTTCTTGATCAGATATTAGCCAGCTGTCGAAATGATAAAAATATATTATTTTACAAACCTCTCATCACAAGGGATAGCGCAAACATTTTTCATTCCAATGCCCAGCAAAATTGCTGCTTTCTTGATTGAGAAATGGCTCTAAAATGTAAATCAATGGAAATACAGATATTAAATTATATTGACTATACACTGAACTTTGTCAAAAAAAGGTTAAAATTACAACAAAAATATTACCATATTTATAATAATCAAATTCCTTAAAGCACAGTGTAACATTTAAAATAAACTTATTATCACCCTAATGGTCCTATTTGACCTGGTGAATGACTACATGTTACATGTATGGACAATGTTGAGTAACATTTGAATATGCATTCTTCAAGGAAAGTCCTAAGGAATAAAAAGAATATTCACTGTCTACATCCAACATTACAGCTTTTTTTACTTCTATGTTAGAATACTGTGTTGAGATGCATAAATTAAATATTATAGCTACATTTTCTAATATATGAAAAGAAAATTGTTTGATTCCAGAAAAAAAAAAAATATATTTTTTAATTCTGTTAGGTATATAGCTTGTTTACTTATGAATAGAAAACCTCCAAATGATCGTATTGTGAATAATGTTGGTTATTTTCATGCGTTAATGGAATCTTGATATCACTAAAAGAGGGATATTACTGGAGCTACATGTAATAATCTTGTTAAAAGGGGAATTTGATCAATAGATAACGTAAAAGAGCCCAAATTTCTTTGATCTCACTTCATTCAAACACGAATATCATGATCCAGAAATGATTAAATGCACATTAAAATCTAGGAGGACATCCATGTAACAATAAGCAGGATAATGTAGACATGATGTTCTATAAAATTACTCATTATTTTATCTCTTTTCTGCATCAAACCATTTTCAACTACTACATAAACAAAAATATTTTTATTCTTGTAGTTTTATTTTCCCATTTGGAATTTCATATATGACAGCCAGCTGCTTACTGCCAACTGTTCACTGCTTACTGCCAACTGTTCACTGCTTACTGCCATCTGCTACTTCTTATAGATGATATTGCCTATATATTGATATCTTCATATCTTTCATACACATGCTTGAATAAATTCTATGAACATATTTGAATGATTTTTTTTTTAATATTTACATGTAAGCAGACATTTTTGTGAATTTTCAAAAAAAAAAAACTTATTTGGAAAAGGGAAAATTATTATACAAATCAACGTAAAACGGATATTTATTTTCAACCCCCCCCCTCCCGTGAAACAACAATCACGGGGTTAATATAAATATCCGTTTTCCGTTGATTTGAATAATGATAAACACGAGTTTTACCAAAATTATAGACTTAACCCTCTTCGCTTTTCCAAATAAGTTATGTTTTTTGAAAATTCACATAAATGTCTGCATAAATATAAAAAAAATCATTTTAATTTCAAATATGTTCATAGGATTTATTCAAGCATGTCTATAAAAGATATGAAGATATCAATATATAGGCAATATCATCTATAAGCAGTAGCAGTTGGCAGTAAGCAGTGAACAGTTGGCAGTAAGCAGGTGTCTGTGATAAGGAATTTGAAAGATATTAAGGCTAGAAATCTCAAAAAGGTTTTAGAGTAGGGATTCAAGTTAAGTCAAATTATAGTTAAAGTATGTACTACATGAATAGTAAATACTTGTTTATTGTAAACTATAGTTAACTATATTTAAGTCATTCGGAAGTTCAGACATAACTCAGAACCTTTACAATACCTGTGCTGATGTGTAAACGACGAGTTTTTGTCCGATGTACATTCCATTTTCCTTCATTTCCGGAAATTTCCTGTGTCTCGCTAACATCATTGCGTATAGATTGGAAATCGTGCCACCTACAAAGTCAAACTCACCTCTTACGTTATGCTTTGAGATATAAACTTACTTCATCAGAACTAACAGTCAAAACACATCTGAGTTCTAAAGCAATTTACTGTCTGTTGGCAGATTCAGAAATTTAGATCCCATGCATATTTTTTTTGTCCTTAAATAGATCCATATTTTATCAAAGATAAAGTAATAAAATCTTTATCTTTTTAAAGGTGCTAGGGTACTAGAAAACTGAGATTCTTATCATCTGAATGTACTATATAGTACGAGTCATTTGCTAATTCACAAGATAATTTAAATCTATAAACACTGGAGTAGCTCATTTGTGAGTACAAGAGACGTTTCATAATCTTACTTTTAGTTAATGATGCTTATTAACTTATCTCCATAAAATATTTTGTAGGTTGGGGAAGATGCCATGAAGCCATGGAGGGGGAATCAGTGTGACTAATACTGCGATACTGATATGTGCCACCTTGTACATATATGTTAGTCTGGCTTGCATCGCGAAGCCACCTTCATTTGAATAATAAAAAAATCTGTTCTTTATCTGAATTGTCTTAAAATACATTGAAATGATATATGCATATGTAACTCTGGTATATTTTATTCTAATCTTGAATTGGTGGCAAAATTTATGCACATGTAATAGTACCTTGAATGTCTGATTAAGCTAAAAGTCATTATCCCCCAGAAGATAATGTATAGTTTTATAGTTCTTCATAGTTTTTATAGCCAGCAAGTTCTATAATATATGACTTAAATATTTTCATATGTTTTCATACTTATACATGTATATATATTTTATTAGTGTGCTGGATTTGTTCTATAGAAAAAGAGTTGGATTTATTTAGTTTTTGATATATGTTTAAGTCATTACTTATATATACTGTGATGATTAATGTATTTATTTATTTACGATTTTTGTTCTGTCGTATCTGAACAAGCTAGTTTTTAATACAGATTCGATGTTTAACCCCGAAGTAGTGTACAATTTATCATTTAAAGCAAAAGTTTTCAATGATCTATATACATAAATTATCTGTCTTAGACGTTCTTTGGTAGTTTACTGCCTCCAAGTAAATGTTAATCTTAGGAGTATCGCTCGACTAACGAAAGCTTCCAAAAAGTATAACTTAAGACAACGGTGTGGTTAGATGCTCCTGATTTAAACTAGTGAAATAAGTAAAATCTGTTCTTTGCAGGAGAAATGGAATTCTGTTAGAATTTAAATTTTAAAGGTTTTAAAACCCTTCAACAGACTCAGAACTAACATATTACTGTTGCCAGACGTACCTGGGGTGAAGATCCCATCCCCTCCCTCCTTCCAACCTATATAGGATCGCATCCTACGTAGTATGATCTCCTCCATCAGTACAAATACTGGACCAACTTCAAATGTAAACCTATGACAAAGCATCTGATACCTTTCAATTTCATATTTTACAGGAAGGGACTAAGTGGATATAGCAGTCAGAAAATACGATGTGGTCATTTTAAAAAATCTGTATCATTTTTCTTTCAATCCTTCTAAAATAACTTTGAAAATTATGTAGTAATTTTTCCAGGTAATGCAATACATTAGGGGTTGAGTGGTTGAAAACTTAAATGTGAAATATATGAACTTCATTTTGTTTACAGCGCAGTGCTTACATTACATTTAATAATAATAATTTTATAATACTCATGATGATTTTTTCTTTATTTCCAAAGAAATCTTAAATTTCACCGGCAACTTGGACTTTCTCTCAAGTATTTACTTTCAGTTTTGGCTTAGAAATGATCAGTATCTATTTTTTTTAAACAGAGAATTCTTATTTCATATTTCTTGAAGAAAAGTTTATAACTTACATATTAGTAATGACCAGAGTTATAACTTACATATTAGCATTGACCCGGGTTATAACTTAAATATTAGCATTGACTCGGGTTATAACTTACATATTAGCGTTGACAGTCGCCGTCAACCACTCCCCAGCCACGCCAACTGCATCCAGTCCCGTAGACAACTGGTTTAAAAAATGAGGATGACCTGAATGGACAGTGTATATTGAGTAAGATATATATGCATATCAGACAGGGACATTTTTCTAAGCTATAAGTAATTCAAAATCTTGTGGTTAAAAAATCATAAGTATACCCGACAATCAAACCTAACCGAATTGAAGATGTTTGCAGTACATCTTTCTTTGGGGTTCGGTCGGAATTGGATGGGAGATAGATGAATATCCCCCCTTGGAATCGTTATCTAATGCCCTTTTCATACGGAGAGATTAATTCTAATTAAACGTAAGTTACTGCAAATTCAATTTGAAACGCGTTCACACGGAGAATTTTAATGCGAATCAGTTAAATTCGAATTAATTTACTGCGCTAAAATTACTGCTTATTAGCTCCGTGTGAACGCTAAGCGAAGCTTATTCGAATTCAATTCTGACGCATGCGTAATAGCAAAATTAAGCCACCTGCCACATGTCGGTGGTCAGATATCAGTTACTGTACTTATGCTATTTTTGAGTGAAAAAAAAAAAAACAATGAAAAATTAAGTTTATCACATAACATGTGTACAGACACAATGGTAATGTCAAATGTAATCTGCTCTGCATAAGGTGACGTGATTTGCAAATGACGTCATAATAACCTCACTATTTTAAAATTAATTTACTTCGCATTATTTTATTTCGAATTAATCTTAATGCGAATTAAATATTTAATGCGCATTCATGTGAACAGGGCATAAGTATTCAACATTATGGAATTACCTGATTTGACACAGTACTTCAGAGTTTCCTTACAATCACTCAGAATCTGATGTAAATCCTGGGGGTCGGCATCCACAGCGAGACAATCACTCATCGTCTCCTGAAGCTGGTGGGGGTGGTGAAAATCCACCACTTTTACCTTCCCACTGAATTGATCAGCCATGTATGTATTCAGAAGTTTCGCCATTTCAAGCATGAAATCCCTTTGTAGCTTACTATCTGTCTGCAAGTCTAAAAACAAGTTAATATTATTTATTAGAAATGTTTAATCTGGAATGATTGTGGGTCTTTTTTTTCTTTTATTAATTTGTTATTTTAGTCACTTGTGCATTAATAGCGTAAAATATACATGACTCAGCACCTTATCATTTGGAAAGGTGCGACAGGAAGTCTAGAAAAGACCTTACAAGTAAACAAGTCGCAATGTGAGATTACACAGTAAGGATTATTTGTTCGCCCTTTCCTAAAAAGTACATTTTGGAACAGGTTATTTATACATGTATATGTTTCTTTTTCTCTCAGCTGGATTTGAATCTTTTAGGGGGGATATATGTCTTTGCTCGAATATTCCCTATCGAAGCATCAGAAAAAGCGGTTTGTTTGCAATTATTACAGATGCACAATTAAAACTGAGGAAATCTTAAACAGAAAGGATGTTATTAATCGCAATTGAAGTTTTATTCAAAATCTTACAAATTCATTTTCAGATAAAAGTGCTAAAAGTAGACTTCCTTTGATTTGGGGGTTACAAGTACATTTGAAATCATTAAATGAGTTTTGGTGCATATACTTTTAATATATATGTTTTCCCATGGTATTTCTATATCGCTCGTAAGCGCTTTCTAGAAATGTGTCTTTTATAGACCTCAAATAACCAATGATGATATGATGTTGAAACCAAATGCTCATCATTACATTCCTTTACCAGCATTTCTATTTTTTCTCACTTTATCATTCTTTGTAACAGCAATTCATAGACATTATTTTTTTTTTTTTGGGGGGGGGGGGTTAATACAGTCGGTCTGTAAAGAATTTTTATACGATAGCTGTTGAGAGTAAGTATTCTCAAATAAATCTTAATTTATTACAACGTTAAAATAAAACTCTTAAAGGTGCTTGGACACAGATTTGAAGTTAATATTTTCTCAAATTTTCTGTATAATTTCATGACTTATATGTTGCTATAGCATTTCATACTAAAATGTAATAAAAATCTTATTTCATCTCGAAGTTATCAAAACTTCGAATTTCTTGACGCGTTGGATTGACACATCCTTGCGCTTTCACATACTTTAATTTTATTCTTAATACTTAAGAAAAGTGGCAATTTTGTTGTGCATTAATGAAAAATATTAAAACTATAACCCAAAAAATTCAGAGTAGAAATGTTCGAAAGCAAAACCCACTCACAGTATTGTTAAGTCCGTGCTCAGTGGTGTGTGCAGAGTTTAACAATTGAACACACCCGGTGAATCGTAAACATTAACAATAACAGAGCTCGTGCCCTGTTTACAAAAACAGTTTACGTTTCACGGGTGTGTTCAATTTGTTAAGCTCTGTACACATCACAGAGCACGGACTGACAATACTGGTGAGCTGGTTTTGCTTTCAAACATTTCTACTCTGATCTTTCTGGATTATAGATGTACTATTTTTCATTAATACATAACAGAATCGCCTCTTTTCTTAAATATTAAGGTTAAAGTTAAAATTTGTGTACCAGGGTAAGTGCAAAGATGTGTTAATCAAACACGTCCCGGAATTCGTAGTTCCAATAATTTCCAGATAAAATAAGTTTTTAATTATATTTTCGTGTGAAATGCTATTGCAATATATAAGTCGTGATATCATACAGAAAATTTGAGAAAATATTAACTTCAAATCTGTGTCCAAGCACCTTTAACACTTTTTGACAGCTCTCTGTACGTATTCTACCAAAGGTTTTTCTCTACAGTGTATTATTTGAAAAATCAAGTTGTATTAAATGACATGAATAATGATGCTTCCAATTAAACTCGCTTTATATAAATGAAATGAAGAATCATTTTCTAGAAAATATGGAAATTACATTTTTATCTGAAGAATGATCAAGGGGTTGTTTTAAAATCATTCGTTCTAATGTTATAAAAAAATCATTTAAAACATGTGCATGTATATTTTGTTCAGAGTTGTATGTTTTGTAGTGTCTGCCTCGATATCAATAAGATATAATTACCTTCAAATATTTAGTGTGGCCCACAAAAACAGTACAGGTATAGATCTAGGTTTCGGAATAAAATAACTTAACTTAAAAAAATATTGCTTTGGTTTGTCTCTTTACGTTACAATGATTTAGGGTATATTCTATACCTTTGTAAAATAAACCTTCATATTTCTGCCACTCTTGCTTGTTGGGGCGATATCTCACCCCCTTGTTCTCTGCCACATCTTTGCCTTTATTTCTACTCTCGACTTTTGAATTTCCAAGTTCTACAGAGCTAGACGTTCTACGCGATGAAATACCACTCTGTTGTTTCTTCATCATGTTTCTTCTTCTAGGTCAGAAGTTCTGTCTTCACTGTAAACAATTGCACATTTATCCATTTACATGCATGATATCTTAAAAATAATTCAAATAAATAACTAAACTTTATTCTGAAATGCAAAACTCTAAGAGGCAATAGGAATCGACGAGAAAAAAAATATTATTGCTTATGAAGAGATAGTCAAAAGTTATGGCCAATGTCAAGTAGCTAAAGGTGTGTTTCGAAAGTTTCGGCTTGGCTGGATGTTTGGATGGGCGCCTTCACCCTATCTCGGGACAGTCCTTCATAATTCACGTCTGGGAATTAGTGCATGTTTCGGTATGTTTCACACCTCGAACAAAGGGTTTTTGCTGCTACCAAATCACTTGGGATACTCCAAGCCTAAGCTTCATGGTTGAATGACTCTGTCATGGTGTGCATAATTATTAAACTTATAATTATCAAAGATAGGTTACAATTATGGACACAGGGCAAGGTCACTACACAATGAATGTAGTACCTGATGTGTATGGCATGTCAAGGTTGCAATATTCGATCTTTTCCATTTGTATTGTATGATTTTTCATTTGTATTGTATAATTTTCCATTTGCATTGTAAAAATTTATATTTGTTTTCTATAATTTTTCATTTGCATTGTAAAATTTTTATTTTTATTCTACAATTTTTCATTTGGATTGTAAATTTTGTAATTTGTATTCTATAGTTTTCCATTTGTATTGTAACTATGATGGTTCATTTCTACTGTATGATTTTCCATTTATATTCTATAATTTTTCATTTGTATTGTATAATTTTTAGTTGTATTCTATAATATTCCATTTGTATTGCATTTTTTTTTTATTTGTATTGTATAATTTTTATTTTTTATAATTTTCCATTTGTATTACATTGTTTTTAACCTTGTATTGTATAATTTTCCAATTGTATTGTATAACTTCTCATTTGTATTGTATAATTTTCCTTTTGTATTCTATAAATTTCCATTTGTTCTGTATAATTTTACAATACAAATACTTTTCCATTTGTATTGTAAAATTATACAGAACAGATGGAAATTTATAGAATACAAATGGAAAATTATACAATATAGATGGGAAATTAAACAATACAAATGGAAAATAAACAATACAAATGCAAAATTATAGAATACAAATAAAAATGATACAATACAAATGAAAAAAAGATACAATACAAATGAAAAAAGTATACAATACAAATGAAAAATTATACAATACAAATGAACAATTATAGAATAAAAATGGAAAATCAGAGAATACAAATAAACATTATACAATATAAATGAAAAATTATATCTGAGGGCTCCAATATAAAGCCGCTGACTTGGTCACTGTTCGGTGTAGTCAGTCGTCACCGGTGTAGACGGACGTATGCTATTCAGCACTTAGTAGCGACAAAATATACTAGTAACTGTGTACTTCTAATGCAGGAGAGAAAGATACCAAAGAAACTTACATTTGCATAGGTCAGTGCAGTATACAAACAAACACTTGTAAATACACAAATATACAATATAACTGCAATAAAATGTAAACAAAGGTAATGCAAGATAACCAGCACGAACACGGGTCGCCATTCCACGCCGATACCTGTGACAATAAAGCAGTCAGGTGTAACGAATGCGAAGAGTATACCCCGCGCTGATATCGTAGATAGTAATATCGAAAATGGCGTGTGCCTATTTACGAGTCGTGTTCAGCTTTAATGATTTTGTCAAGCATGAATACTCCGCAAGTGTAGCTTTCATAGCGTAACCCTTGAAGTCATTAAAGAATGGGGTTATTTTCATAAAGACCAAGAGACCTGAATAGGTGACCTGAATTCCTGACACACACACACAGTTACAAATGCGGCACGAGAGGTGTTGAAACATCCTTTTGTGAGTTTTACAACTGACTGATTTCACAATTTGTTTTGAAAGTTAAAATTTTGGGTTGGAAATGTTTTTAGAATTTGTTCTAAAATTGAAAATGTTACAGAGGGTCGAAAACACTCATTTTCCCAATGAAAATCAGTTTACTTTCTAGGGGTAATCATTCTCTTGGAAAGAAACAAAGGGAAATTTAATTTTAGTAGTAGATTTCTCCCGAAGGAAAATCCTCTTCCTCCTTCTGTGTACAAATTACAGATTCCTTGGGAGGGGTAACTAATGGGGAAATGCAGCTCTTCAATACCAGTATTTATGCTCAAATATTCGAACCAAAATTACAATATATGGACCTTGTAATAAACATATTTCATACCTGTCAAGGGTTTTCATGCTTATAGGTCTAAAATGAGATCTTTACTAAATAAGTTTTTGTTATCTAAATAAAATGACTACATGCAGATCGTCATATTCTAGTTTTCATCATATTTATATATATATATATATATATATATATATATATATATATATATATATATATATATATATATATATATATATATATATATATATATATATATATATATATATATAAAAGATCTCCCATGAGTTGTGTGGTAAAAATACACAAAGAATTGTATAAAAAATCATATCTAACCACAAACCACGGGAGTTCTACACATACGTTTTACACATAACTATTTCATGTTTTACAACTGTTTTATAGATGTAGATCCATAATATTTGACTCGATCAATTTCACGCAAATTCCATTGTGACGTCACAACCGTGGATATGAAAACGATATCCTATGAGCTATACTGTTATAAAGAAATATTTACATTTGCAAATGCTTTCCTTTATATAACACTGTTGAAAGCAATGTGTATCTATATCCGTATAAACACGGGTTCCTTGCGTCATAAACGTTCGACGTAATTTCTCAGTGACGTCATAAAGGGTCGACGCGCAATCAATGGATCAAATACGTGCCGTTGAGTTTGAAAAATAAAACATTTCACGCGTTAAAGATTATAATTATGAAAATATAAAATATAAATAAGACATAAATGTAAATATAAGTAATAATGTATCATTTTTAAACATCTATCGGGTTGGTACGGGTTGGTACGAGATCAAATTCCATAAAGCCCGAAGGGCTTTATGGTAAATTTGATCTCGTACCAACCCGTATTTATATCCCGATAGATGTTTAAAAATGATACACTATTTCTTAAGTAAACATGTGATATTTTTTTTAACGTCACCAAATTTATTTTACATGTTTCTGACTAAAAAGTATTCTGAAACATTCAAAAAGCTTTTCTAAGCACAAATTTCTATTAATCATTTATTTATTTAAATATACATATATTAACTTTTATAATCAAATACATGTATATAATCAATTTGCTTTTATAATGAATACATGTACATCTTGGAGCGTAAGCTACTTACAAAAATTTTGATAATAATGTTACTTCCAAATTTCTTTCTACACAAGTGACACCTTGCCTCTGCAACTGTCAAAATAACACTGTGATAGCAACTTCGCACTTCCATAAGTTCATCGACTTAATCTAAGACGCAGTATAAGTCTATACCGGAAGTTAGAAGGAGATGGGTGAAGAAGGCATGCTGAATGCCTATAGCTTCAGATATGTTAAAATCATATTCAATTCATGAATTTAGTATTTAGAGTAAAGTTCTCATTATTGAAATGTATGAAATTATGACATACAAAACTTTTTTTAGGAATTTTTTTTCGGCAAAAATTATGTGGTATTTGTGGGGTTCGAACCCTATAAGCAATAAAAGTCCTGAGCACATTTTCCTTTGAGACTAACGCGCTAACCACTACGCTCAATGTTCAATGTTCTAGGTCATATAGTACTTCGGTGAAATGGAATGCACAAAATGTAAATTATGTTATTAACGATTTAGATGAAAATATTGGTAAACTGTCTGAAATAGCAAATAAGAACTTAGAAAGTCAAGGTGATGTAGATGTGTGTGTCAATGAATTTTGTAACGTTGTAAATAATATTGTCCTACCCAGATGTAATGTAAAATATAGTTCATACCAAAAGGCAATGAATGGTCAAAAATGTAATAAGGAAGATAAACCATGGTTTAATGAAAACTGTAGAAAACTTTATTTAGAGTATAAATCAGCATTGCGTGATTTCAACTTTTGTAAAACTGTGGAGAATCATAGAATGTTGGTAAATAAGAAACATCTGTACAAAAAGTATGAGTATAGGCTTAAAAGAGAATACAAACGCTCGAAGGTAATATGTTAGATTTTTTAAAGAAATGTAATCCCAAACAATTTTTTAGATCTTTTTCCAAATGCAAAACTAAAAACAGTGCAAGTGATATAACGCTAGATCAGTTTTTTGATCATTTTAAAAACTTGAACAACTATGAGAATGACATAAACACATCAAATGAAAATGTCGAGTCTGATGTAAACGATACTATTTTTGAGGAATTAGAGGTAGAAATTTCCGAAAATGAAATTATAAAAGCAATTGGTAAACTAAAACGAAATAAGAGCTGTGGTGAGGACCTTATCCTTAACGAGTTACTGATAGAATGTAAAAATTCATTATTACCCATCATAACAAAACTGTTCAACTCAATATTTAATTCAGGGTTTTTTCCTAGTGAATGGTCTAAGGGTTGTATAATACCAGTTTTTAAAAAGGGTGATCGTAATGATGCAAATAATTATAGAGGCATTACTTTAATTAGTTGTTTAGGTAAGCTATTCACTTCCATTTTAAATGCTAGGCTGCTAGAATGGGATAGTTTGAATAATGTCATTACAGACGCGCAGTTTGGATTTAAACCCGGAAATAGTACGGTTGATGCAATATTTGTACTACAAACATTAGTTAATAAATTTTTGCAGAAAAAGGGTGGCCGACTATATTGCTGTTTTATAGATTATCGAAAAGCATTTGATCTAATTGATAGAGCTAAAATGTGGTGTAAATTAGTTAAACAAGGTATAACAGGCAAAATGTTCAATATTATTAAATCATTATATGCTAGTGTGAAATCATGTGTGAAGTTCAATGGTATGCTGTCGGAGTATTTTGAAAATAATGTGGGCTTACTGCA